CATGTCTGGCTAATTTTTAAAATATTTTTTTGTAAAAATGGGATTTCGATGTGTTGCCATTATCGTCTCAAACTCGTGGCCTCAAGCAATCCTTCCACTTTGGCTGCCCAGAGCACTGGGATTGTAGAAGTGAGCCACTGTGCCTGGCCTTCTCTGGACTTCAGATAACTCTAAAGTGTTTTTGACAACCTGTCTAGAAGGCAAGAAACACATATCTCATAGTGAAAGGGACACATATGAAGCCCAGAAGCATAATATAATTGACTTCTGTTACTATACAATTATACTATATTTCTATTACTATACCTAATACAATTGACTTCTAATACTACTGAACCCTCAGAAATTTGGCAATTAGGAGAACTTTTTTAAAGTCCAGAAAGCCTAGACTATTTTTGTAGCCCATCAGTGACTAGGCTAAGGGGAAGAATGGAATTCAGGGTGGGGTTAGGAAACCTGAGTTATGGCCCTTGATAGGCCCCTGACTCACTGTGTGATAATGGCCAGTCACTTCCTGGCTCAGTATTCCAGTCCCTTCCCCACCTTCCCACAGCCCCTTCCCCTACCCAAGTAAAATAAAACAATGATTTTATTCTTTCTTGAGAAAGTTATGCATGATTGTTTCTATAAACAAATCTGGAAAATAGCCAGTCTCTTAGTGTAGCAATGTAAGATGATTTTGTTCATTTTATAACCAATGTAACCTCCTGGGTGGTACATAAAACCACGAAGACCGTAAACCCTTTGGCTATTGTTGGGACCCTCAGATGGGAATGAAATAAATAGATAGTCTGCTTTCCTCTTATATCTTCTGTCCAGGATGGCACTTTTGTGTTGCTAACCGAGGGCCCTGTAGAGATACTTGAGAGATAACTGGGTAACACCCAACTAGGTCAGGGAATGAGTCAGAACTCAAGGACTCGATACCAACCTCTCCCACTCCTGCCAGGAAACCTCTGGGTGAGACAGAGATGAGAAAGGAGCCGAGGGGCGGGCCTCACGGCTGCCTGCCTCGGAGGCCTCTGGCTTGCGGTTTCACCCTGGTTTGCCCTGCAGCAGTTGTAACGTGTCGGCTGACACGCAAGCCCTGGACACGCTGTCCCTCCCCCCTTCCCAAACTTCTGCTCAGTCTCAGAAACAGATGGCACATTCCACCCCAGGGGTGACTGCTGGGGAGATGAGAGGAAAAGGGCAGAACAGAGCTAGGTGGGAATGCGGCACTTCGGAAAACACAGAGCCAAATACCACACAAGCGACTTTTCGTCTAAGAGGTGAGCAGGAAGTAGAAGCTAAACTCACCTCCATGGAAACCAGGATAAAAAAGGGCACAAGAATGACATGGCTGGACTGATGCAGATATTAGAATAGGAGTGAAGGACAAGGCTGAGGAGTGTCCCCCAGCCCTACTCTGGAAACCTAAAAGACTTAAGAGGAAAATGGCAAAAGGTCACATTTCTTGTTTGGAGGTACTCAGCACCTGCAAATCTGTGTCTCTTTCCTCAGAACCTCAATTTCCAGTTTATAACAGGTCTTAGAACTCTCCTTGGGTGCAAAAACAGTTTTAGGCACCTATAGCCTATCAGGTACATGTTTCCATATATTATTTTACTTAGTGTTCATAACAGCTCCATGAAGTAAGTTTTATTATCCCCATTTCACAGATGGGTACACTGAGACACAAAGACATTAAATTGCTTATAGAGTTTGGAAATAGTAGAACAAGGTCTATATCAATTGCCAGAACCCCCATGGATTCCATTATACTAGGTTGTCTTTAATTTGAAATCAAAGCAAAGCAAACTGATACCCAAATAGTAGAGATTTCTTAAGTCTTCCAAGGAGCAGTAAGAAGCAGACCAGGTAATGAGCAATGAAGATTTCTGAATCTCTCAACGTAGGTATTTAAAAAATTCTGGAATTGTTGGGTTTATGCAGGCCTCCCTGCAATCTGAGATTCCCAGTGCAGCCTTGGTACCCTCTAGTGGAAATTTCCTGCATTCACATAGCTTCCCTGGCTTTAACCCCAAGAGTTGGGAAGCAAGCCCTCATGCAGCCACTGGAGAGCATCCCAAAAGAGTGGTCAGCTTAAGATACATTTTTGTATGTCAGAGTCCATGAGGAGGGTAGAGAAAGGAATACAAACTACAAAGAATATGTACCAAGCACTTAGTTCCCAAGCCGCTCCCCCCCAAAAGAGTCACTGTCAGTACATAAATGAGCTCAAGGCTTTGTGCATTACTAATAGGGGCTCAATACACATCACATGGGACTGTGGGCTTTTAGGGCTCTAGAGAGAGACTTTTTATTAAATGGGGAAAATTATTGATCAGAGATGCAAAGTGACTTGCCCAAGGACACAGGGAAAATCAATGTTGTTGGCAATGGTGGTATGAGAACCCATGTCTCCTGCCTCCCAATTTAGAGCTCTTTCCACTATATCACACTTTCTTATTTGTTGGTTGATTAATTTTAGCCATAAATTGGTATCATTTAAGGATATGAGGGTTGTAGGTATAACCATGGAATTGTTTCTGCCTTCATTTGCCCACAATCCATACACTTTCATTCTTTCATTCAACACATTTACTGAGAGCTTTTTATTGCCAACCACTACTCTAGGCATTGCCTTTCAAGTTTGTGGACCCTTTTCCCAGGTACTCTAGCATATGAGGAGGGCCTCCCAGGCTCCTGGAACCCCATGTCTACAACCTTCCAGGGCATTCCTGGAGCTTCTTCCCCAAGTTTTCAGTGCCAAGTTGTTAGATTTATTTGTCTCCCTTCCCCCATAGAGGTAATCCCTGAGAGTGGAAGTGGGTTAGAAACAGATTACTCTGATCCAAGGGCTTTACTCTCTTCTCCCTAAACATGTTGTGCTGGGGGCGGGGGGGGGGAGGGGGGAGTCACAAATAGCCTGAAATTCCCTTTTAGGATTATTGCTTGATTTAGCCAGCTGGGGCGAAAGTGGAGGAAAAAGAGGTGAGGGATTAATTCTAGACCTAGCTTGAGCAGTGGGATGCATAGGCTTTTTTTGCTGGCTGAGACAGGATGAGCAATATCTTACTTAGCAATATCTTCCTAGACCTCCCCTTAGAATAAGGAAATCTAGGACAGGCAGAAAGAGGTAAAGGAGAGGTTTTGTCTCCAGCAGTAGGGGTGAGTGTAATGCTGGATGGGAAAGAATGGCAGCTAAAAGAAGAAAGTCCTGCAGCACAGAATAAGGAGTCACTTTTGGCCGGAAACTACCTGCCTTTCGTGGTCTTAGCTTCAACAAAGGTGAGAACTCTTCCATAGGGGAAGAGAGCTAAGATGCAGTGCTTCCTGAGGATTTCCAGTACATATCCCCGTTAGGAGCTCTCATTAGGGACACTGCACTGGGGTGGACTCTGGGGACAGAATATCATCTGTGTCCAGCACAAAGGGCAGTTACACCTACCAGGATTCTGCTGGGCTCTGTATATCCCCTTTCAGAGCTGTCATGGGGCTTGGAAACAGTGGATATAACTAACCACAGTGGAAGCATGTATTAACTCACTTAATGAGTTAATAACAATCCTATAATAAGATGTAAACTCAGGCACTGTAGCATTCTTAACCACTAACGTGAGAGCCATATATAGTCAACTCGAGTGACAAAGAAGCTCTATTAACATTGATAGCTAAAGATCAGTTGAGAATATTTCTTAGAAAGGATTCTTGTTTCTTCTACGGCACCGTATCTTGGACAATTTACTTCTTTTATTTATTTATTTATTTATTTATTTTGAGACAGTCTCGCTTTGTTGTCCAGGCTAGAGTGAGTGCTGTGGCATCAGCCTAGCTCACAGCAACCTCAAACTCCTGGGCTCAGCAATCCTCCCAAGTAGCTGGGACTACAGGCATGTGCCACCATGCCCAGCTAATTTTTTCTATATATATTAGTTGGCCAATTAATTTCTATTTATAGTAGAAACGGGTCTCGATCTTGCTCAGGCTGGTTTCGAATTCCTGACTTTGAGCAATCTGCCCACCTCGGCCTCCCAGAGTGCTAGGATTACAGGTGTGAGCCACCGTGCCCAGCCTTATAATTTACTTTTCTTTCCACAGACTCACTTCAGGGAAAGAAAGTACAATATAAACACACAGAAAGTCTATTACTTGCTTCAATCCAAATATTATATTGCTTAAAATTGGATTCTTCCAATTCTCCATAAGAATTTTCCTTGTTCAAATCAGCTGTGCTTCTCCTAGAATGTAGGTTACTAGGCAGCATTGCAGAAGTTTCAATCTTCAATGCCATCTGCCACTAGGAAGGGGAAAAATGTGCAAATGCCCCACTACTCATGAGGAGTCTCATCCTCTCTGGGCTCAGTTTAGAAGTTTCAATAGGACAAGGGATTGCAGGAATCCCCTGTATTTGACAAAACAGGAAATCGACTTTACCTCTGCCTTGTCATATTTTTAACCTTAAGTAAATTACATAATTTCTCTCTGATTCTTTTCTGAAATGACAAGTCACAAATAGTTTTGTTAATCCACGTGTCTTTTGTCCTAGTAAATACAGTAGTCAATCCCCTTTATTTCATAGGAAGAAAGAATTTTCTTCACACGGTACAGACAGGGAAAACTAGGGCTCAGATTTAAGGTTACACAGCATAGTGAGGTCAGATACAAATCCAGAAACTTCGTTTTCGCCCTTTCTGGGATCCAAATACCTTCAACGTACCCTGTGCATTGAAGAAAAACATTTGTCTCAGACCTCTCTGACTTCAGAGGGAAACAACTTTTCATTTCTTATGGAGTGGAAATGAGGTGCAGCAATGTACCAAACACAGAAATGCAGCAAACCCACACCGCCATAAAGCCTCGTGCGCAGGCGCAGCTCGTGCTCAAGCGCTCTCCTGCTGGCGCGTGACAGCCCTTCCCCCACCCTACCCCCAACGCCTCTCACTACGCAGGCGCGACCTTACTCCACCCTCCTCCACCCCCTCGAGTACGTGCGCGTCCTCGCTGCTCACATTTTGGTGGAGGGCGCGAGCCCTGGAAAATTCCACTCCTGAGCTAACTCCACCCTATGCGCCTCCTCTCTTACCCTGTGCTCTTCACTCTCAGTCCCCGTCCCAGCGGCCTTTGCGTAAGAAAATGGCAGCCTCCATACCTCGGGGGTTGTTGTGCTTATCCAGGACTTTGGGCTGGTGGTCTCGGCAGGTGGGTAGGGACGGGGCCGAGAGGACTCTAGAGAATAGAGGGGAGGACAGAAATACTCGCCGTGCAGTTGTGCTTGGTGAGCTTGGTCGGTACGAGTTAGACCGAGCCTGGGGAAAAGTTGGAGGTGGACAGGACTCAGCTACTGAGCTAGTTCAGCGGCCAAGTGGGGAGAGTCAGCGCAGGGACGTGAGGGTGAGCGAGTTCCCGGTTTGGAGTCTGGCTGGGAGGTGTTAAAGGGGAAAGAAGAAATGACTTGGAAAGTGGGCTTGCTTCCCTTCCATTCCTATAAATGTCTTAAGTTGAACAGTCGCTGCAAAAAGAGAGAAGCCCGTATTGTCACTGTCCCTGCCTGAGCAAACCTCACGATCAGAGAGAAAAAGTATCCTGGTCTTTGAAGAGCTTATTGGTCAGTTGCGAGCTAAGACAACAGAATAAAGTTTACATGGAGACTCCCGATAGAATGAGCAAAATGTAATTTAAGTGTGGAGGAGATGCCAAGAAGACCACTCTTCTTAGTAGAGAGTTACACTTTAAGAATAACATCCCGCTCATTTCAGTATTGGATTGGTGTTTAATTTCCCCATCACACTGAAAGTTCTTTGAAAGCAGGTCTTGCTTTAATCAACTCTCTAGGAGTTTGAATAGTCCTGTGCTGTAGAAAGTATTAAAGGAAAACTTTTAGTAAATGTTGAGTGATGTTAATAAAGATTGCTAACTGGCTTCTCGTAAGACACCCAGTGTTCGGGTCACCATGCATTTTTCCCCATGATAATTGTTTCTGAAGCTTTCTTTGGATATACTCTTTCTGTAGGGCTCTGATTAGAATTTGTTCAAAACAGTAGATTTTTTTTTTTCCAGGTTACCTGTATCCTAACTTTTTCCTTACCTTCCAGCCTATCCTGGTGACTCAGTCCACAGCTGTAGTTCCAGTAAGAACTAAAAAACGTCGTTTCACACCTCCCAATTATGAATCCAAATACAAAACAGAGAGAGAGTTTATGGAACATGCCCGGAAAGCAGGATTGGTCATTCCTCCAGAACGTTTGGAGCGTCCCATACATCTGGCCTGTACAGGTGAGGCGTGGTACTTCTGGAACTCTGACCCAGTCCTCTTCCGTCAGAGATCTTCTGGAACTTGGAATGAATTGGACTATGATTTTTTTTTTTCTTTGAGATAGAGTCTCTCTTTGTTGCCCAGGCTAGAGTGAGTGCCGTGGCATCAGCTTAGCTCACGGCAACCTCAAACTCCTGGGCTCAAGCAATCCTCCTGCCTCAGCCTCCCAAGTAGCTGGGACTACAGGCATGTGCCACCATGTCCGGCTAATTTTTTCTATATAATTAGTTGGCCAATTAATTTCTTTCTATTTATAGTAGAGACGGGGTCTCGCTCTTGCTCAGGCTGGTTTCAAACTCCTGACCTCGAGCAGTCCGCCCTCCTCGGCCTCCCAGAGTGCTAGGATTACAGGCGTGAGCCACCGTGCCCGGCCTCTAATTTTCTTTATATATGCTATATTTCATGAGATCATTTTTTGATCCTGTTTTCACACTATTCCTAGAAATAAAGAGCAAAATTTCTCTGTTCTATAGAAGCAGAAACAGGCTTTGAGAAGTTTAAATTATTCTGTTATTTTTCCAGTGTAACATGGTTCCCTGTACGTGGAAGTCTGTTTCATTAGTTTGCTATCTATCTAGGATCCTTCAGAAGATGATCCTCAAGATTACTTTTTCTCAGTCTTTCAACACCTTCTTAATTTTCTTCTTTCCTCATTGCAGCTGGTATCTTTGATGAATATGTTCCTCCTGTGGGTGATGCTCGCATGTCTTCTCTTTCAAAGGAAGGACTGAAACAGAGAGCTGAGCGATTGAAGAAGAATGTGGCATCACAATTGTCGTAGGTGTCTGAGTCAACTGGGAGTTGATATTAGAATAACAATTTTTTGTTGCTACTTTATCCCAGAGAGGCCTTCTTGGGCTCATTAGGTTGGGTATATAACTCCCTTAATAACTCAACAGTATTTTCTTACTTTGTAATAGAGTGCATTTAATGCAGAATAATGAGGGCATTCTGATTCTTACCATCCCTCCCTTTGTTAGTAATTTCTATCACATCATTTAGGAAGTGTGTAGGACCCTATTTGTGATCACATATTTTAAAACTTAATATAATAATAATAAAAGAGATAACATTTATATGAGAAGTAACTTAGAGTTTAAATGTCAGACCAGGGCTGGACGCGGTGGCTCACGCCTGTAATCCTAGCACTCTGGGAGGCCGAGGATTGGTCCAGGTCAGGAGTTCGAAACCAGCCTGAGCAAGAACGAGACTCTGTCTCTACTATAAATAGAAAAAAATTAATTGGCCAACTAATATATATAGAAAAAATTAGCCGGGCATGGTGGCGCATGGCTGTAGTCCCAGCTACTCAGGAGGCAGGAGGATTGCTTGAGCCCAGGAGTTTGAGGTTGCTGTGAGCTAGGCTGACGCCATGACACTCACTCTAGCCTGGGCAACAAAGTGAGACTCTGTCTCAAAAATAAATAAATAAATAAATGTCAGGCCAGGTGCAGTAGCTCATACCTGTAATCCTAGCACTTTGGGAGGCTGAGACAGGAGGATGGCTTGAGGCTAGGAGTTCAAGATGAGCCTGAGCAACATAGTTAGACTGTCTCTTAAAAAAAACACAAAAATTAGCTGGATGTGCTGGTGTACACTTGTAGTCTCAGCTATTTGGGAGACCAAGAAGAATTGCTGAAGCTGAGGAGTTTGAAGTTGCAATGAGCTATGATGATGCCACTGCACTCTAGCCCAGGTAATAGGCTGAGACCTTATCTCAAAAATAAATAGACAGACAAACTTCAGAGAGTAAGAAAAGCCAAAAATGGTCAAGAAGACAGACCTGTTCTAGAAAGCTAATTGGGCCTTGGTTAATGAGCTGAAACCTGAACCTTTTTCTTAGTGTCTCTTAGTTGAAAGGACAAAATCATTTAATGTTCATCACTCTAGCTCTGACTGTATCCAAAGTATAGATTCTTTAGGGTCACGTATAGGTTCATGTGTACAAGTATATTAAATCAATGTTAATTCTTTACGTGGCTATGACTTCTCTAAATACAGATCATGTCAGCTTCCCTGCTTAGAACTTTTTTGTGGCTCCTTGTTACCTGAAGAATAAAATCCAGGTTTCTTTAGTGGTATGTAAGGTTTTTATAATTTGGCCCTTGCCTTCTTCACCATAATCTTTTGCTGTTTCTTTTTCTTTTTTTTTTAGAGATAGGATCTCATTCTGTCATTTAGGCTGGAGTACAGTAGCCGATTATAACTCACTATCGGGGCCAGGCATGGTGGCTCACACCTGTAATCCTAGCACTCTGGGAGGCTGAGATGGGAGGATCTCTTGAGCTCAGGAATTTGAGAACAGCCTGAGCAGGAGTGAGATGCTGTCTCTACTAGAAAAAAATAGAAAAAATTTAGCCAGGCATGGTGGTGTGTGCCTGTAGTCCCAACAACTTAGGAGGCTGAAGCAGAAGGATTGTTTTAGCCCAAGAGTTTGAGGTTGCTATAAGTTGACACCATGGCAGTCTAGCCCAGGTGATTGAGCTAGACTCTGTCTCAAAAAAATAAAGAAAACTCACTATAACCTCAAATTTGTGAGATCAAGCAATCCTCCCACCTCAGTCTCCTGAGTAGCTGGGACTATGGGTGTGAGCCACTGCATCTGGCTAATTTTTAAATTTTTTTTTCTTTGTTTTTTTTTTTTTGAGACAGAGTCTCGCTTTGTTGCACAGGCTAGAGTGGAGTGCCGTGCGTCCAGCCTAGCTCACAGCAACTCAAACTCCTGGGCTCAAGCAATCTCCTGCCTCTCAGCCCTCCGAGTAGCTGGGACTCTACGAGGCATGCACCACCACGCGCTAATTAGTATATTAATATATACTTAGTTGCAATTAATCTATCTATTATAGTAGAGAGACGGGGTCTTTGCTCTTGCTCAGGCTGGTTTCGAACTCCTGACCTCGAGCAATCCGCCCGCCTCGGCCTCCCAGAGTGCTAGGATTACAGGCTTGAGCCACCGCGCCTGGCCTAAATTTTTTTTAGAGATGGGGTCTCACTGTGTTGCCCAGGCTGGCCTCAAACTCCTGGCCTCAAGTGATCCTCTTTCTTCAGCCTCCCAAAGTGCTGGGATTACAGGTGTGAGCCTCTGAGCTAGCCATCTTTTGCCCTTTATTCCATTTTTCTCATCCTAAAGCTCAACTTTTCTAAATTAATTGCCACTTCCTCAACAGTATTGGGCTGGGCTTCTGCATCTTTGCACATCCTTTCCTTTGCCTGAAAATGTATTTTTCCCCCTTTTTTACATGGTAACTCTAACTCATTCCTCAAGACCCAGTTCAGACATCATGTCTGTTTTTAAGCCTTCCTTGACTCTTTCTGGTGCTGCGTTTGCTGTAATGGTAACTGCACACTTACACTTATCAGTGCTAATAACTTTGTACTGCAGTGATTTTCTTTCATATGTTTATCTCCTGGACTGTGAGCTCTTGGATGGTAAGGTCCATGATGATGATGAACAAGACACATATGGTTCTACCATAGAGTTACCATCAAGGGGAGGAAAACAATCATTAAATACTAATGGTACACAAATAATTATAGGTATGGTAAAATATGAGTGCTGTGGGAACATGTGACAAGGAAAGATAACTTGGTTTGGGAGATCAGAGAAGACTTCCCTGAGGAAATGACATTTATTTTTTTTATTTTTTATTTTTTTGAGACAGAGTCTCACTCTGTTGCCCAGGCTAGAGTGCCATGGCGTTAGCCTAGCTCACAGCAGCCTCAATCTCCTGGGCTCAAGCGATCCTCCTGCCTCAGCCTCCCGAGTAGCTGAGATTATAGGCATGTGCCACCATGCCTGGCTAATTTTTTCTATGTATTTTAGTTGTCCAGTTAATTTCTTTCTATTTTTAGTAGAGGTGGGGTCTCGCTCTTGCTCAGGCTGGTTTCGAACTCCTGACCTTGAGTGATCCTCCCACCTTGGCCTCCCTGAGTGCTAGGATTACAAGCATGATCCACTGCGCCTGGCTGAAGAAATGACATTTAAAGTTGGGCCCTAAGCTGGGTGGGCGCAGTAGCTTGCGCCTGTAATCCTACCACTCCAGGATCTGAGGCAGGAACATCACTCAAGGTCAGGAGTTTGAGACCAGCCTGAGCAAGAGTGAGACCTCATCTCTACTATAGGAAAAAAAAATTAATGGGGCATGGTGGCACATGCCTGTAGACCCAGTTACTCCCTGCCTTAGGAGGCTAAGGCAGGAGGATCGCTTGAGCCCAGGAATTTGAGGTTGTTGTGAGCTATGCTGACGCCACGGCACTCATTCTAGCCTGGGCAACAGAGTGAGACTCTGTATCAAAAAAAAAAAAAAAAGTAAAGTTGGGACCTAAAGGATTGTTTGGAGTTAGCCGGGTGGAGGGGTGTAATGAGGAATAACATTCTAGGGAGGCCTGGCACGGTGGCTTACGCCTGTAGTCCTAGCACTCTACTCTTCGAAACTGGCAATATCATGAAAAACTAGGAAGGACTGAGGCATTGTCACAGATTGGAAGAGACTAAAGGAGACATGACAACTAGAGAAATGTGGAGGCCGGGCGTGGTGGCTCACGCCTGTAATCCTAGCACTCTGGGAGGCCGAGGCGAGTGGATTGCTTGAGGTCAGGAGTTCAAAACCAGCCTGAGCAAGAGCAAGACCCTGGCTCTACTATAAATAGAAATTAACTGGCCAACTAATATATATAGAAAAATTAGCTGGGCATGGTGGCGCATGCCTATAGTCCCAGCTACTTGGGAGGCTGAAGCAGGAGGATTGCTTGAGCCCAGGAGTTTGAGGTTGCTATGAGCTAGGCTGATGCCACAGCACTCATTCTAGCCTAGGCAACAAAATGAGACTCTCTCTGTCTCAAAAAAAAAAAAAAAAATTCTAGGGGAACATAATAGTATAAGCAAGGCTCTGAGGAGAAAAGAATATGAAGGTATGTTGGATTTTTGTCAGATTCTTTTTCTGTGTCTATTGAGATTGAGATCTATTGAGATCATGTTATATTTGTTCTTTATTGATATGATGGCATATATGAATTATATGAATTGATTTTCTTTTTTCTTTTTTTTTTTTTGAGACAGAGTCTCACTCTGTTGCCCGGGCTAGAGTGTGTGCCGTGACGTCAGCCTAGCTCACAGCAACCTCAAACTCTTGGGCTCAAGTAAGTGATCCTCCTGCCTCGGCCTCCCAAGTAGCTGGGACTACAGGCATATGCCACCATGCCCGACTAATTTTTTTTTGTATATATTTTTAGTTGACCAATTAATTTCTTTCTATTTTTAGTAGAGACGGGGTCTTGCTCTTGCTCAGGCTGGTTTGGAACTCCTGACCTTGAGCAATCCACCCGCCTCAGCCTCCCAGAGTGCTAGGATTATAGGCATGAGCCATCACACCCAGCCGTCCAGCAGCTTCTTGAGAAAGGGTGCCTGGTAAATAAATGAGATCTTGCAAGTCTAAAAAAAAAATATCTTAGTTTTACTGTCCCACTTCCTTTATAATTTTTTCCTCAATAAAAGCACTGCTCTGTTGTCTTTTTAACTTTTAATATTGCTATGTAGAATCCTAATATCATTCTGAATCTTAAGCCTTTGTATAACACCTATTTTTCCTTCTTAGTGCTTATAGAATGTTTTCTTTGCTCCCAGAATTCTGGCATTTCACTATGAGGAGTCTTGTTCTTTCTTTAGAATGTTGACTTAAGAGAGATAGGCCTGTAATCTCAGCACTTTGGGAGGCCAAAGCAGAAGTATTACTTGAGCCCAGAAATTCAAGACCAGCCTGGTCAACATTGTGAGACCCTGTTCCTACAAAAAAAAAGTAGGGGGGGAAGATTTAGAAGTTTGAATTTAGGCCGGATTTGCTGGCTGACACCTGTTATCCTGCCACTTTGGGAGGCTGAGGTGGGAGGATTGCTTGAGGTTAGGAGTTCCAGACCAGCCTGAATAAGAGCAAGACTGCGTCTCTACAAAAAATAGAAGAATTGGCCTGGTGTGGCATGCACCTGTAGTCCAAGTTGCTCAGGAGGCTAAGACAGGGATTTGCTTGACCCCAGGAGTTTGAGGTTGCAGTGAGCTATGATCACACCTCTGTACTCTAGCCTGGGTAACAAATTGATCCCCTGCCTCAAAAAAAAGAGAAAGAAAAGGAAGAAAGTTGGATTTACAGGCTTGATACATTCAAAAAACAATTATTGAATAGGTAGCAGACATCAATGGAGAGTAATGTAAACTTTGAATTATGGAAATTTATGAAATGTTCTTTAGAAATGATTCTCAGGCTTAATTTTACAGAGTCCGGAAAATAAGAGAATATGATCCTGATTTTAAAACTAAGGACTTTCCCGAAAAAGCTAAGGAAATCTTTGTGGAAGCTCACCTTTGTCTAAACAAGTAAGTGAACTCCCTGTCTTATTTTACCCATTCTGTTCTCAGCAGCTATCATTCTAGGCCCAGTTTTTTGTTTTTTCTTTGGATAATAGTTTTAGAGTGAGAGAACTTCCTATATGGGAAGTGATTAGTAACTGAAGCTGTCCTTGATTCTTCTCTTTGCTTCTGGGAGTTTTTAATCGTTTGGTCTGTCTCAGGTCCACCTGCAAGTGTTGGGACGCTGTTCTAGAATGGCTGCTGTTTTCATCCTATCTGATCCCTTTATTCATCCAGATCCTTTTTTTTTTTTTTTTTTTTAGGGGAGTTAATACAGTTGTAATCCAGATCCTTTTTGTGTGTTTGTCTTATGCGTGACATTTCCCTTTCTTAGTTATTTTGCATAAGTTTTTTATGAAAATTTCCAACTTTTTCTTGATTCAACCAAGTCAGGGCTGCCAGGGAGATGAAGAATCAACATCAGGACCTGGAATAGTCTTAAGTACTAGTCCTTGGACTGTTGCTGAGATTCTTTGAGCTGTCGCTGCTGTAGCTAGGCTTCAGGTAGGAGCAAACACGTGTACTCTAAAATTTGTTAATTATTTCTAATTTGTTTTATTTCTTAGTAGAATACATTTTTAAAACTATGATATATTTCAAATATATAAAAAAAAGTACCAGCCAGGTTCATGGATGATAAAACATTTAACTAAAGCTCCATCTCATCTTTTTCCTTCTTAGAGATAACTACTATCTTATGTATCATACCTATGTATATATTTATACTTTTACCACATGTATGAATGTATAAATAACATATCATATTATTTAAAAAATTTACATGAATGATACTGTATGTGTCTTGGCTTTTTTTTTTTTTTTTTTTTTTGAGACAGAGTCCTCGCCTTCCTGTTGCCTAGGCTCAGACGCAGTGAACGTGCCGTCGTGTCAGCGTTAGCTCCAGCAGCAACCTCAAACTCCTGGGCTCAAGTGATCCTCCTGCCTCAGCCTCCCAAGTAGCTGGGACTATAGGCGTGAGCCACCTCATCCGGCCTGGGCTGGCTTTTTTTATTTTTTTGAAACAAGGTCTTGCTCTGTCACCCACGTTGAAGTGCAATGGCATGATCATAGTGCACTGCAGCCCCGAACTCCTGGACTCAGGCAGTCCTCCTGCCTAAGCCTCCTACTACAGACACGTGCCATCACACCTGGCTAAATTTTTTAAATTTTTTGTAGAGACGGGGTCTCACTGTGTTTCTCACGCTGGTCTCAAACTTCTGGGCACAAGTGATCCTCCTGCCTCGGCCTCCCAAAGTACTTGGATCACAGACATTAGCCACTGTGCCCAGCTCGTATATACCTTTTTGAACTGTGCTGTTTTTGTTGTTCAGCATCAATTCATTTTTAAAGAATTCTTTCTTTGGGTAGGGAATTCTAGCTTGGTAGTTCTCTATCCACTTTTTTTTTTTTTAAGACAGGGTTTGTTTCTATCACCTGGGCTAGAATGCAGTGGCATCATCATCATAGCTCACTGCAGCCTCAAACTCCTGGGCTGGGCTCAAGCGATCTTCCTGCCTCAGCCTCCTGATTAGTTGGGACTATAGGCATACACCACCACACCCAGTTGATTTTTCTATTTTTTGTAGAGACAAGGATCTCACTATGTTGCTCATGCTAGTCTTGAACTCCTGGCTTCAAGTGATCCTCTTGCCTTGTCCTCCTAAAGTGCTGGAATTATAGGGGTGAGCCAGTGTGCTTGGCCTCTATCAGTATTGTGAAGATGTAATCTTTTGGTTACTATTGTTTTCTATTGAGAAGTTAGCTATTTTTTCTTGTTGTTACTTTGAAGGTAAAGTTTCTTTTTTCCCAGGATGTTTTTAAGATTTTTTTTTCTCTTCCTTTAGTATTCTGCAATTTACTGTAATGTACCCTGCAGGTGTGTTTGTGTGTTTCTTTATCCTGCTTTGGGCTCATACTGCTTCTTAAGTGCTTTTTATTGCTTTTTATGTCAGTGTTGGAAAATTCTCAGGCAGAACATCTCTTCAAATTTTGCTTCTGCTCCACTTTCTCATCTTCTGTGTGGTTCTGAATATACATATGTTAGATCTATTACTATGTGCCAAATGTGTCTGAGGCTCTTTTCTATATTTTTCCAACTGTTTTTTCCCCCTCCAGCTTTAGTCTGGATATTTTCTGATCTATCTTCCTGTCCTCTTTTTTTTTTGAGACAGAGTCTCATTCTGTTGCCCTGGCTAGAGTGCCGTGGCATCAGCCTAGCTCACAGCAACCTCAAACTCTTGGGCTCAAGCGATCCTTCTGCCTCAGCCTCCCAAGTAGCTGGGACTACAGGCAGGTGCCACCATGCCCAGCTAATTTATTTTTCTATATATTTTTAGTTGGCCAATTTCTTTCTATTTTTAGTAGAGACGGGATCTTGCTCTTGCTCTGGCTGGTTTTGAATTCATGACCTTGAGCGATCCACCTGCCTCGGCTTCCCAGAATGCTAGGATTACAGGTGTGAGCCACCACACTGGTCCAGGCTGGTCTTTAACTCCTAAGGTTAAGCAATCCTCCTGCCTTGGCCTCTCAGAATGCTAGGATTACAGGTGTGAGCCACTGTACCTGGCCTCTGTTTTTTAAATGTAGGCATATGCAGCTATAAATTTTCATCTTAGTACTGCTTTTGCCACATACCAGAAGTTTTGGAATGCTGTTTTCATTTTCATTTGTCTCAAGGTATTATTTCCCTTATAATGTCTTTTTTGACGCATTGGATGTTTAAGAGTATTCTGTTTATTTTTCACATATTTGGGAATTTTCCAATTTTCTTTCTGTTACTGATTTCTACTTTCATTCCACTGTGACCACAAAAGATATTATGTATGACTTCAGTCTCTTAAAATTTATTTAGGCTTGTTTTGTGGCCAAACATGTCCTATCCTGGAGAATGTTTCAAGTGCACTTGGTAGAAGTGTGTATTTTTTTTTTTTCGAGACAGAGTCTCACTTTGTTGCCCAGGCTAGAGTGAGTGCCGTGGCGTCAGCCTAGCTCACAGCAACCTCAAACTCCTGGGCTCAAGCAATCCTCCTGCCTCAGCCTCCCGAGTAGCTGGGACTACAGGCATGTGCCACCATGCCCGGCTGATTTTTTGTATATATATTTTTAGTTGGTCGATTAATTTCTTTCTATTTTTTTTGGTAGAGACGGGGTGTCGCTCAGGCTGGTTTTGACCTCCTGACCTCGAGCGATCCACCGCGCCCGGGCGGGTTAGAGTGTTCTGTATGTGTCTTAAGGTCTAATTGGTATTATATTATTGTCCAAGTCTTCTATTTCCTTTTTGATCTTCTGCCTGTTTGTTTATCCATTATTGAAAGTGGAGTATTGAAATCTCCAACTATTTTTATAGAACTGTCTAGTTCTCCCTTTAATTTTGTCCGTTTTTACTTTCTATATTTTTGGGCTCTGTCTGTATTAAATATATTTGTGTTTATAATTGTTATATCTTCTTGATGCATTGAACATTTTCTTAATATATAATGGCCTTCTTTGTCTCTTGTAACTTTTTATTTTTTTGAGACAGGGTCTTGCTCTGTTGCCCAGGCTGGAGTGCAGTGACACAATCATAGCTCACTACAACCTCAAACTCCTGAGCTCAAGACATCCTTACACTTAAGCCTCCTCAGTAGCTGGGACTATAGGTGTGTGCTACCACACCCAGCTATTTAAAAAAGCTTTTTGTAGAGATAAGGTCTTGCTTTGTTGCTCAGCCTGATCTTAAACTCCTGGCCTCAAGTGATTCTCCCTCCTTGGTCTCCCAAAGTGCTAGGATTACAGGCATGAGCCACTGTGGGTGGCCTAAAATTCTTGAATGACAGGTTCTTTTTTTTATTCTTTTAGGATTTTAAATGTGTCATCCTACTGCCCTCTGGCTTCTGTTTTATGATGAGAAGTCAGCTGTAATCTTATTAAGGGGTTCCTTATATGTGATGTGTCACTCCTGCCCTTTTTTTTGAGACAGAGTCTCACTCTGTTGCCCAGGCTAGAGTGAGTGCGGTGGCATCAGCCTACCTCACAGCAACCTCAAACTCCTGGGCTAAAGCAATCCTCAGTCTCCCGAGTAGCTGGGACTATAGGCATGTGCCACCATGCCTGGCTAATTTTTTATATATATATATTAGTTGGCCAATTACTTTCTTTCTATTTATAGTAGAGATGGGGTCTCACTCTTGCTCAGGCTGGTTTCGAATTCCTGACCTCGAGCAATCTGCGTGTCTTGGCCTCCCAGAGTACTAGGATTATAGGCGTGAGCCATCACGCCCGGCCCACTCCTGTCTTTCTACTTTCAAGATTCTCTCTTTGTCTTTGGGTTTGGATACTTTGACTATAACGTGTCTTGTGGTTTTTTGTTTGTTTGTTTTTTGACAGAATCTCACTCTCTTGCCTGGGGTAGAGTGCCGTGGTGTCAGCCTAGCTCACAGCAACCTCAAACTCCTGGGCTCAAGCAATCCTTCTGCCTCAGCCTCCCAAGTAGCTGGGACTACAGGCACGCACAACCATGCCCTGCTAATTTTTTCTATTTTTAGTTGTTTGGCTAATTTCTTTCTATTTATAGTAGAGACGGAGTCTCACTTTTTCTCAGGCTGGTCTCAAACTCCTGAGCTCAAGCAATCCTCCCGCCTTGGCCTCCGAAAGTCCTAGGTTTATAGGCGTGAGCCACTGTGCCTGGCCACATGTTGTTCTGGATTTCTTTCAGTTTATCCTGCTTGGAGTTTGTTGAGCTCCTTAGTTGTACATATTCATGTATTTCATCAGATTTGCGATTTTTTTTTTTTGGCCACTGTTTCTTTAAATTTTTTTCTGCTCATATCTTCCATCTTTTTCTGGGACTCTGAGTATATATATTTGGTATACTTGAAGATGTCCCACAGGTCCCTCAGGCTTTGTTCATTTGTCTTCATTCTCTTTTCTTTTTGCTCCTCAGACTCTATAACCTTAGTAGCCTTATCTTCAAGTTCACCAGTCATTTCTGCTTGCTCATATCTGCTGTTGAACCCCTGAAGTCAAGTTGTTTTTTGTTTTTTTTTTTTTGAGACAGAGTCTCGCTTTGTTGCCTAGGCTAGAGTGAATGCCATGGCGTTAGGCTAGCTCACAGCAACCTCAAACTCCTGGGCTCAAGAAATCCTTCTGCCTCAGCCTCCCAAGTAGGTGGGACTACGGGCATGCACCACCATGCCTGGCTAAAATTTTTTTCTATATATATATTAGTTGGCCAATTAATTTCTTTCTATTTATAGTAGAGACGGGGTCTTGCTCTTGCTCAGGCTGGTTTTGAACTCCTGATCTTGAGCAATCCGCCCGCCTCGGCCTCCCAGAGAGCTAGGATTACAGGCGTGAGCCACCGCGCCCGGCCTGGAATTTATTTTCACTGAAGAATTCTAGGCCAGGATAGAGAGGAGGAAGAGTTCATTCGGAGGTGCCAGCCATGGTGGTCGTCCTGGTAGTTGTCACCACAACTGACTCTAGTCTATTTCTACAGTGGAGGAAATGACTTAGAGTCTTTTCTATTAAGAATAGAGGTGAAAGGGAAGCAGACAGACACATTAGAATGAATCCTTTACCCACTCTGGGATTAGATAACAAGATTTTTCAAAGGGGACAAAGAGTTAAACTGTCTATAAAATATTAAGCTTTGGGGAAAAGCCATGTATGTGTATCTGAAGGAAACTAATCTGTGGTCTTAGGTTTATTTGAGACCCCTCAGTTGAGAACGCTCCTAAAATGTGCCTACAGGAGCTGGGGTTTGATGTCTGCTTTTTTACCATTACTGCATAAAGTGAGCATGACTAGGATATTCTTGCAGCAACAAAGATGGAGAGGAAAGAAAAGAACAGACCAGAAAAGACAGATGAATTATCTTTTTTTTTTTTTTTTGAGACAGAGTCTCACTCTGTTGCCCGGACTAGAGTGCCGTGGCATTAGCCTTGCTCACAGCAACCTCAAACTCCTGGGTTCAGGAGATCCTCCTGCCTCAGCCTCCCGAGTAGCTGGGACTACCAGCATGCGCCACCATGCCTGGCTAATTTTTTTTCTGTATATATTTTTAGTTGGCCAATTAATTTCTTTCTATTTTTTAGTAGCGACAGGGTCTCGCTCTTGCTCAGGCTTGTTTGAGTGATCCGACCGCCTCAGCCTCCCAGAGTGCTAGGATTACAGGCGTGAGCTACCACTCCTGGCCCAGATGAATTATCTTTGACTAGGTTCAAAGATAAGAGTGTAAGATAGAAGGCCAGACCAGTTGGTACTGATGATGTGTCAGAGATAAGAGGAGATAAGAAGAGCATTTGATTGTTACTTGTGTTAGACTTTGTTCCTCATATTATTATTATTATTACTTTTTTTTTGAGACAGAGTCTCGCTTTCTTGCCCAGGCTAGAGTGAGTGCCGTGGCATCAGCCTAGCTCACAGCAACCTCAAACTCCTGGGCTCAAGCAATCCTCCTGCCTCAGCCTCCTGAGTACTGGGACTACAGGCATGGCACTGCCGCTATTTTTCTAATATATTAGTTGCATTAATTTGTTTCTAATGTGGAGACGAGGTCTTCATCTTGCTCAGGCTGGTCTTGAACTCTTGACCTCGAGCAATCCACCCGCTCGGCCTCCCAGAGTGCTAGGATTCAGGGTGCGCCACGCCCCGCCTTTCCTCTTTAGCTTAGAGCAGAAATAAGTCAGTAAGGATCCCTTCCCAGCTTATGGATCTGTGGTAATTTTAAAGAAATTTCTTCTTGGTCCTGAGATTTAAACATAATTTTATTCTACTCTTAGATCTCAAGGTTTTCTGGTAAATCACTTATTGTTCATCTTTGTGCCCCTAGGACTTAGCGTATTACCTGGCCTACAGTAGATGCACAGAAAATGTTTCTAAAAATGAATTCTTTTTCATTTTTAAGGCTATTTTCAACTTTCGTACAGGGTATCATAAAAGCAGCAGTAGTCAATGATATATATCTCTTTTCTTTTCCAGCTCAGACCATGACCGGCTTCATACTTTGGTAACTGAACGCTGTTTTCCGGTAGGTTCTCCTCCTCCTCAGAACTGGCATGCCAGAGTGGGCAGATTCTAGACATCACCTGTGGTTTTTCTTAAGAAGGATCAGGTTTTTTTTTTTGAGACAGAGTCTCGCTTTTGTTGCCTAGGCTAGAGTGAGTGCCATGGCGTCAGCCTAGCTCACAGCAACCTCAATCTCCTGGCTCAAGCAATCCTTCTGCCTCAGCATCCCAAGTAGCTGGGACTACAGGCATGCGCCACCATGCCCGGCTAATTTTTTATATATATATATATTAGTTAGCCAATTAATTTCTTTGTATTTATAGTAGAGACGGGGTCTCGCTCTTGCTCAGGCTGGTTTCGAACTCCTGACCTCGAGCAATCCACCCGCCTCAGCCTCCTAGAGAGCTAGGATTACAGGCGTGAGCCACCACGCCCGGCCGAGAAGGATCAGTTTTGAAACTGCTGGAAGTTTAAGGCACAAGCTTAAGTTACGTTATTTTTAGCTGAATGATAATGGCATGGACTCAGGCAAGGGCCTTGGCAAATGAAAAAAGAGAAAGTCCCAGCCGGGCTCGGTGGCTCATGCTTGTAATCCTAGCACTCTGGGAGGCCAAGATGGGAGGATCAGTTGAGGTCAGGAGTTTGAGACTGGCCTGAGCAAGAGCGAAACCCTGTCTCTACAAAAAATAGAAAAATTAGCCAGGTGTGGTAGCACGTGCCTGTAGTCTCATCTGCTCAGTAGGCTGGGGCAGGAAGATCACTCAATCCCAGGAGTTTGAGGTTGCGGTGAGCTGTGATGACACTGTTTCAGTCTAGCCCAGGCGACAGACTGAGACCCTGTCTCAAAAAAAAAAGAAAAAGGAAGTCCCTCAGTATTGAAACCTCGGGTATAGATCCTGAGGTCAGGATACAGGATATATTGGGCACACCTACATATATACCTACACTGTAATGAATGATTTAACAATAATTCATGAGGCTTACATTGGGTGGCAGCAGGCTGCTAGGTACTTTGGGGTCTCCCAAGAACGGGGACTTTGTGGTTCAGTTAGAGATTCAAGAATATGAACTTAAGTTTCTATCAGTTCAGCTTTAATTTCTATCAGAACTTCAGTTTCTATCAGTCTTCCCAGGGACAAGTATAGCTAATCCAGTCTTAGCAGTTTAGCCTTTATATCCCTGTAAAATCCCCATCTTTCACTGCTAAAACATGAGGGGGAGTGGGGAGGAAACATATATGTAGCCAACAAAAGTACATGCAATAATTAGATTATGAAAGTGTATGGGAAGGATAATGGTGTGTTGGGAGTGCTGGTAGTTTGAAGTGTGGTTTTCATCGATTTAGAGAAGGGTCCTCAAGGAGGAAGGTGGGTCTTGAGTTCTAATTTAGATGAAGAGAGAGTTGTGAGGTGAGCTTGAGCAGTAGCTTAATCAAAACTTGAGAAGGTGAGAGAGAAAATAGGCACCAGAGAGCGTGTGATGGGAAATGCTGGCTGTGGGCTTAGTGTTGCCCGAAGTAAGAGCTGGTATGGCAGCCAAGCTTCCCTAAAGGGAGAGATGAACCCCATTGAACTTGTTCTCCTTTGCCCTTAGGACATGGTCTGGGACCTCAGATATAAGACTGTCCGCTGGCACTTCGTGGAATCTTTAGAGCCACCCCAGGTGGTCCAGGTTCGATGTTCAAGTCTGGTGAACCAGAGCAACTTGTATGGCCAGGTCACCGTACGCTTGCACATCCGCCAGGTAGAGGCACCAGTCTGCTTTCCCCCCCAGCTTTTCTTACTCTCAGGTTGGGCACCTACCTCTGGAGTGCTGGGTACAGCTGCCTGGGACTCTAGGAAAGGTTTGCCATCGTCTTCCCTGCTGTGTCACTGCACCCTTCCCACTGCCAAACGTTAGCTCTACTGTGACATGGTGTGGGGCTATTCTCTCCCACCTCCTGGTCTTGATGCTCCCCACCCCCACCCTGGTCAAAGAACTTCTGAGAGTAAAGTGTCAGCAGTTGATCAATTAGTCCGAGATTCAGAATTTTGTGATAACCTTTTTCCTACCATTAAAATTTTTTGTTATGGTTGTTTCAAAAATGTGTGTGTGGCAAAAAACCAAACCAAAAAACTAACAGACCAGATTCACTATCATCCTTGCAGACTCTGGCCATCTATGACCGGTTTGGACGGTTGATGTATGGACAGGAAGATGTGCCCAAGGATGTCCTGGAGTATGTTGTGTTTGAGAAGCACTTGACAAACCCCTACGGGAACTGGAGAATGCATGGCAAGATTGTTCCTTCATGGGCACCCCCTAAGCAGCCCATCCTTAAGGTGAGGCAGCTGGCATGGTTTCAGACTGCTGAGGCAGTAGTTGTGGCATCCTAAGCCACTCCAGTTGGGCTCCACCTAGTGGAGAGAGGGGATGATGCAACGCCAGGGAAGGAGAAGCTTCCTGGTGGGGGTTGGGGGGCTGGGTAAACCATAGGCTTGATTGGTAGGTAACTGAGCTTCTGTTCTTTCAGACGGTGATGATCCCTGGCCCCCACCTGCAACCTGGGGAAGACCATGAAGGAGCACAAGGAGAGGCCCATAAGACTCAGCTAGCCTGATGGCAAACGTGACTCCTGGGGTGGGTGAAGCATGGGTGGTGAGGCTGCTGGGAGCCAGGAAGTCCTCCATCTCCATTACACTGCAGGAAGAACCACCTTTGTTTTCTCCTGCCCTGCTTGGGTCTTTTCAGCAGTCTCATCCAAAATAACCGTGACTGACGGTTGGGCCCAGGCTGGTGGCAGGTATGCACAGCCATGGACCCTCGTCTTCTTTTTTAAATTGTGAATGTAGTTTCTGAGTCTAGGTGAAAAGCAGAATGATTCAGAGAACATCTGATACCAGTTTTTCCCATAGCAGGAACTATGGGAATAAACTGGCAGCATTCTCGTTCTAATCACAGGGCAGGCATCAGAGTTTGAAAAAAAACACAGAGTGTTTGAAAATTTTTTGTGGGTTCTGTACATTTCCCCTGGTTCAGACTGGGAGTAGACCAGCCTCTGAATAGCAGTAGTGGAAGATGAGCTTCCTTGTAAGCAATGTGACTTCCCAGGAAATCCAGACTTGGGAAGAATAATCAGTGTTGATAAAATATTGTATAAGAGGCCTTTTTTTGTACACTGACTCACTGATGAATCAGCATTTGTACTTTATAGAAGGATATAAATCCCCAAAAATAATTTATCCCTGAGCCTTTGATTGTGTTCTTAATTATTAGTTGCATCCTAGTGTGACCCCAGGAAGTGTGGGAGGCAGGGGCCATGGATGAGTTGCTGCATGTGGGAGATTCATCTGCAGACTTGGTTCCCTGATTTTCTAGCACCTGGAGATGGTGACTATTTCTTCTAGCCCAGTATTAAAAAGGCAGACGTACCAGAGTATGAACCTGCATAGAGTAGCAGCCTACCTAGGCCTTCCTTGTTCCTTATCTCCAGCTAGGCTGTTAGAAGGATGTAGGACTTCATAATGCTTGTGTGTCCTAGGTCATCTGAGTATGCCAAGGGCAGTCACTGTATCAGCAACAATCTTAGCTTATAGGACTATTGCTTTTATCAATCCAGTGTGAGCTCCTCCTGGAAAACAGGACCTTAGTTCTCATGCTTTCTCTTTACCGGAGCTTAGAATTTCTCTTAAGGAATCTGCCACTTAAAGTAAGAAAAAATTAATCTGTACTGACCTTATCTTGAGAATAGAGAACAAAGAAACTGGAATCAGGTCAGGAATAAGTAATCTGACTCTTCAGTCTCTCTAAAGCTACCATGTCAGCAAAGTAGCAAGGAAAGTAGGCTTCACTGGGGAAGATTGGTGTTTTTACAGCAGCCATTGAGTGCTGACTATGGAAACAGATGTATATGCTCAGGGAAGAGACAGCACTGGTGGGTTAATTCACAGCAACCACTCTTATCATGCTACTTAGTCTCAACCCATTTGGCTTAAAGTGTACATCAGGTTGCAGCATTACTGCCCAAGCGAGGTTAGTTCACATCCTATTTGCCTCAGCCCTGGATTAAGGCAAAATGAGAAGGGAAGTGCTTTGAGCGGGATCCACAGCTGGGGAGTATGGAGGAAGGGCAGGTAATCCTAGCAGGGCAGGGAAGCAAACAAAAAAGCACACTTAGTAGGCAAACGATACAGTAAATGATTTATTTAAATACATAAAAACAGTGCTTCAAATAAACTGTTTTCATTCCACTTCCCTGGATATCTTGGGGTTCTCTAGATAATCCTAAATAGCAGCTAAGCAATAGCTGCCACCAGGGAGCCAGAGGATAAGTACAATTTTTATTTCCCTGTGGGATCAAAGCCAGCTGAGCAAATGGACCCAGATGTGAAAGGTTGGCTAGAAGGACCAGGCAGAGACCATCTGCAGTGTCTGCTGCAGACCTGGGCACTGGCAGAGACTTAGACAGACCACCTGAAGGCCGCAGTGTTATTACCTTGGGCTTTGGAGTAGGCATTGTTCTTTCCTTATCTGTCTATTGTTCCTGTTTAAAAATACTGAAAAAGAAAATTGCCATTTTGAATAAGCTAGAGCCAACTGTAACGGTCAAGAAAAAGCATTCTTCATTTTTTTCTCCATGGTTTATTTCACAAGAGTAAGTTTGGGGGTAAATTTGCTGATCCCAGCTAGACCAGACCCAATGGGATTGTCTTGGGGTGCACAGCAAAATCCACATTGGCCCAGGAGCTGTGGGTTAACTAGAGCGCAGAGCAAAAGCACACTTCAATTACTACTTTAAAAGCCCAAGGCAAGGGACCTGGGTTTGTGGGAGGGCCTAGGTATGGGAATAAGGGCATCTGGTCCCCAAAGGAGAGTAGGTTACTCCATTCCTCTGCTCCCTTTTGGAAATGGAGCACTTTGCTACTTTTTCTGTGAAGTCCTGTTCACAGTTTATTCTTTATAACAGTTTATTTAACACAGTTTATTTGAAAAAGAATAACAGGTTTTTCCTTGTACAATACATCATGACGTTCAAAGCCAAGAGTATTTATATGCAGACTAGATTTTACAGCTCGTTTTTTCCCCATTGGGTATTTGGTCACCTTGTTTTGTTTTTTTTCTTTCCATGAATGACATCAATATCTGTACTGCTAGAGGGTGGGCTTACTGCCATCTTTAGTGCCCCTGTCCAGCTCTGCCATGTTTAGCCTGCCTGTTTCCACACTGGCCTCACCTCTGCCAATCCTGGTACTTCTTTGTATGTGTTTCTCCTTTCTCATTTCCTTTTGGTAGTGTCATCTAATCCCAGCATTCTGTTATCTAGTACTGTGCAAGCAAGGGTAGCCTGAACTGTTGAGAGAAGAGAAGCGAGCTCCCTAAGAAAGAAGGCTTTGTATTTACACAATGCTGTTTTCCTCAGGCATCTAACCTGCCCCGTAGTACTACCCTTGAAGCACTTAGACTTCTGGCTGTATTCAGGACTTCCTTTCTTTATCTGGCTTCTGTGGAAGGAGACTGGTGTGGCCTCTTACTACTGAGTAAGGAGTGGGTCTCACATCAGAACCAGAGAGTCCCCTTGGTTCCAGTTACAGTGGCAGAAGAGAGGGGTCCTGTTGATGGCAGTGCTGTTAGGTTAGGGGGAGGAGGAAGAGCCAATGAGGTGAGCGCTGGAGACCAGCAAGAGCAGGGGCAGAAAGAGGCATACTAAAACACTAGCAAGAGGTGTACTGAGGATGTCTGGAAGGGAGTCTGCCTTTGACCAGTGTCGGGAGGACCTGAAAAAATTGCTTTTCCGTCTGTATTCTCTGTCTCTGACGTTGCGTTGGATTCCAGATGTGGACATGGATGTCAGAGTGCCTGATTTGTTTCTACTTAGCTGCTGGCAGCACAGGTATGAGAAGCAATTAAGCAGAAGTGGGAGATTCAAAGTCAAAATGACAAGGCCCTTAAGGCATTTCAGGCACCTATTTTGGGTCATTTTAGTTTTTCTCCCAATTTATCTTTCAACTTTAGTTAAATGGCTTCTTTAGCTATCTGTGGTGATCTTTATAGTGTTCTATAGTCCGCAGTCCCTATGTTGCCAGCACCTTATGAGGTTTAGTTTCTTTTCAAAAAATGGTCCTCTGTAGACTTCAGGGAAGAACTGGGTCTCCCTAAGAGAGAATGCAGGCTAGGCATGGCTGACCTCCTTTCATCCCTAACACTGGCTTTACAAGTGAGTGTCCAGACTCAGATGGCTTGTGTTGAGTACTCTAGATGAATGGGAAGGGTCTTTAGAAGCACAGGGTCCAGCCTTTGTTTCCTTGAGCAGAAAGACAATTAAAAGTAAAGAAAGGGTGGGCCTTCCCATTGGAGTCCAAGCTGCACTCTTCTTATATAATTTGTCTTTGGAATGAGTTGACTTCTGGCCTTCCCAAGGAGGGGAAGTGGCCAAGTTGTCTTTGATTCAGCTCTTTGGGAACACTTGGACTTGGAAGGACCTTCATTCCTGAAAGCTAGCTCTGTGTTTAACCTCACCTGATGGATCTGTTACTCCCAGTCCCAAGGATAGACAGTTGGAGGGATGAGCTCTTCATTTTGAGCTTCAGAAGTCACTTGTCCTTGGTCTTCAGTTAAGGAGGAAGACTTCTGAGCCTCAACTTCTTGGAGACCTGGCTCTGGGGCTGAGCTGGTCAATGACTCAAGCCCTGAAGGTCCCTGAAGTTCTCTGACACCTAGAGTGGAAGCACTGGGGGGCTGGCTTGCCTTGGGGTGGGCGCTTTTGCTTTCTGGAAGAGAGTGATCCAGAGGTCCATGGACTGAAAGGCATAGTGGCTTCTCAGGGGCTATGGGGATAATTTCCGTCTGAGTTGCTGTTAAAGCCAGGAGGCCAGGTTCCTCAGATGGGGCTCCGGATTCCTCACCTGGACAGATGTCTGCCATGGTGCCCTTTATTTTATTTCCTTCTGGATCAGTGACTTCCCATCGACACAGCTCTGCCATCCTGCTCCCCATACTGCTTGCTCCCTGGGGGCTGACTTTGGGTTGTTCAGTGTCCAGAGCACCTGACTGGGGGACGGGCCCCTCTGAGTCTGTGCCTTCCCAGGGGCAGACTGTCTCCTGCTTGCTGCTGCGTTTCACTGCTGCTTTTGAAAAGTGTTCTCCATCCCCCCCAGCCCCTGCCTCCTGAAGGAAGGGCTCTCCTTGCCCTGGCGATTCTCTGCCTGCCTCCTCTTCCAACCCCTGTGCCTCTGCTGCTCCTTCACTCACCTCGCAAGGGCAGATCTCTGCTTTCTTGGCAGAAGGAGCCTCTTCCACTTCCCACGGACACACTTCTGCTACCCTGGCTCCCACACTGCCTGCTGCCACAGAACTGCCTTTGCTTCTGTCAGAAGATGGACCCCCACAATCTTGATTCTCCCAGGGACACACAGCCTCCTGCTTCCCCAAGTCTGCTGTCTCTGGCTCTTTCTGAACTGGCACACCTTTGGGCTCTGGCTTTTCTGGGGCTCTGCCTTTCTCTTCTCGAGACTGTGCTTCTCCATCCTGTCTTGACATCTCCGGTACAGGGATTCTTTCAGTCACCTCCCAGGGACAGATCTCAGCCTTGGCGCTGCTGTCAGATTTATACACATCTGGGTCAGGAGCATCCCACGGGCACACCTCTGCAACCCTGCTCCCAACACTGACTGGTCCCTGGGAGCTGGCTTTCGGCTGGTCAGGGTGCTGGCTCTCTGGGTGGGAGAAAGAACCTGCTGCGGCCATGCTCTCCCACGGACAGACAGATTGCAGCTGGTTGCTTGTTTGTTCCCCATCGTTAGTAATGAATTCTCCTGCTTTTTCTTGGGTTATGTGTTCTGGGAGGGATCCTGTCTTTGGGACTTGTCTCAGGTCCCCCTTCTCTGTTGCTTCCAAGGAATGCACCTCTGCCTGTGTGCTACTCGTGCTGCTGGAAGAGTCTAAGACCTTGGAGGCCTGAGCAGAGGACTCCCTCAACTCCTTGTTCTCCCAAGGGTAAATAGCTTCTTGTTCTTGACTCAGTTTTGCCACCCATTTTGACATGTCTTCTCCCAGGGAGGTGAGGCTTGCCTTTTCTAGAGTTTTCTCCGTCTGGCCTGCTGATTCACTCCCCGTCTCTTGTTCCAGTCCCTTCCCAGGAGCTCCTTCATTCACCTCCCAGGGACAGATCTTGGCTTTTTCACCGGCAGGAGCTTCCTGTACTTCCCAGGGACACACCTCAGCTGGCCTGCACCCCACATGGTCCAGATCCTGGTCCCCAGCTCTTGTCCGGTCAGGTTCCAGAATGTTTGAATGCTGAGAGGAGTCCCCTGGACCCAAGGTTTCCCAGGGACAGGCCACCTCCCGCTCTGTGGCTGGCCTCTCTGGCTTCTTTGGAGCCGTAACATCTGTCTCCTTGAGTCCAGAATCTGCAGAAATCTTTCCTATGTATTCTGGAGACTTCCTAGTGGCCTCAACTCCCAGAGCCCTTTCCTCCCCTGCTGCAGCATCCACCTCCCAGGGACAGATCTTTGCCTTCTCAGCAGTTGTGGTTTCCGCCACATCCCATGGGCAGATCTCAGCAGCTTTGCTCCCCACACTACCTGACATCTGGAAAGTGGCTGGGGGTCTCTCTGTGCCTCGAGGACCTGGATGTGGGGGAAGGCTGCTAGGGTCTGTACTCTCCCAGGGACAGACTGCTTCCTGTTTTTGGATCTGCCCCTCAGGCTTTTCACGAGCTGTGACATCTTTGATTCCTGCTTTTACAGGTGTTTTCTCCTTGTCCTTTTGAGATTCGCCTCCTTTTGGTTCCTGTCCTGATGTCCAGTCCTCCTTTGTTGTTTCACTTACCTCCCAGGGACAGATTTCTGCTTTATCCTGTACCTCTGGCTTGAGATCTTCCCAGGGACACACCTGTGCTCTGCTTTCTCCACTTCTTAGGAATTGGCCGCCAGGTTGGGATGAGAAATTGTCTAGGCATGGGCCAGAGTGCCCAGGGGCTGTGCTCTCCCAGGGACATATTGGTTCCTGCTGTTGACTTAATCTCTGCACTGCTTTCACAGTTTGTTCCCCCATCTCTCCAAAACTTCCTTTTTTAGAGGCTTTTTCCTTTTCTTGGAGAGATTCTCTACCTGTCCCCTGACTCAGTATTTCCTGCCCCATTACCTCACCATCCAGCTCCTGGGGACAGATCTCTGCTTTCCTGATAGCAGGAGCTTTTCCTGCCTCCTGTGGACACACCTTTGCAGTGCTGCTGTCCAAACTCCCTGAGTACTCTGCACTTCCTGGGGCCTGAATTGAGACTGCCGAGGGGCCCCGAAAATCTGTACTCTCCCATGGACCGAGAGATTCCAATCCTCCCCCCAGTGTGTGTTCTTTCCAAAAGATTGTTTTCTCGGGGGTTTTCTGCTTTTCCTGGGGGAGCTCCTTTGCTCCCTCCTGGGTGGGTTTCCCATCCTCTCCTCCTTCACTTGCCTCCCAGGGACACAGCTCTGCCTTCGCCACCTTCCTAGCCTCCCCGCTGCCCACCGCCTCCAACCTGCCCTTGCTTCTGTCAGAGTCCTGAGGGGATGACTGAGGGGACAGACCTCCAGGCTCAGCAGTCTCCCAGGGACACACTGCTTCCTGTCCCCTGACCAGCCTCTCTGGCTTTTTCCGTGCAATGGCAACCACATCTCTGGGCTCTGATTTTTCAGGGGCTTTCCCCCTCTCTTCTTGGGAGTTATCTGGAGCTTGTCTTAATGCCTTCATCTCAGGGCCTCCTTCACTCACCTCCCAGGGGCAGATTTCGGCCTTGTTGCTACTGTCTGGGTGACATGTTTCAGACTCGGTGAGTTCCCAGGGGCATACATCCACCACCCGGTGGTCAGCATTGCTCAGGGTCCAGAGGCCAGCTTTGGGTGGTTCCCGCCATCCCATGGGGGCTTCTTTTGCTTGCTCAGCACTTTTGTCCCTAAAAACTTGCCTCAGTATGGCAGGCCCTGTTTTACCTGCTTTTTCAACTTTCCGCTCCCCTAGACCTTGGGATGTCCTCTTGCCTCTGTCTTCTTGTTCCCTGCTGCTGTCCTGTTGACGGACTTGGAGCATTCTGCTCGTGTGAGCATTCTGTTGGTTCTGGAGGGACTCCTCGTCGTCACAGGGGGCAAGGGCAGCCTGCTTGCTCACTACCTTGGGCCGGCCCAGCCTGGGAGACCTGGAGGCTGTCCCTACACTCTGTGCTACAGCTTTGTTCATCTCCCCCTCAGGACTCTCCTCCCCACCCTCCTTCTCTTTGTATGTGCTCCGAGAGCGGGTCAGAGCTTTGATAGCCAGTCCCAGGCTGCGCATGGAACCCTGCTGAGCAGGGGTCTTGAGGCTGTGTGATTTGGAGAAGATTTTGGGCCTGTCCTCATCCATGTCATCAGCTTCTTCCTGGAGATGCCTGTCTTCTGTGTCTATCTCATTCTCCCCAGGCCCCTTTTTCTCTACTGCAATGGAGAGGGCCCTCCAGAACCTGGCTCGAGGTGGGGCAGGGGAATGGCTGCCTCGCTCTGGCCCCGGGGGGCCTTCCTGGACTACATTTTCTTTCTTGACAGGCAGTTCTGCATTCTCCCAGGGACAGATAAAGGTGAGTAAGCTGGGGCTTTGAGGGGGTACTGGAACTGGTGCCAGGGCAGGGGCTGGAGTTGGGGCTAGAGCTGGCATGAGAGCTGGAGCCAAGCTGGAGGTGGGAGACAGCATCCTAGGTTCTCCCAGGCAGGCCCCAGACAGGGCCAAGATGGGTGTGGAGACCTGGTGCCGGATGGGTGGGTGGGGAAGCCTTCTTCCAGCCTCCTCTTGAAGCTTCCCTGAGGTATAAGAGTTGTCTATGCTGCTGCTCTTCGCGGGGGAAGGTGGGGCTGACAGGGGGGCCCCTCGGGCCTGTGGCAGCCTTCTGGCCGATGGCCTCCGCACCGGGCTTGCCATGGCTGCCATGACTGCCTCAGCCTTCTTTCGTTCCTCTCTCTCCTTTGCCTGCCGGTAGGTCTCCTCCAGGTAGGCCTGGCTGGCCATGAGCAGGGCCTTTTCCCTGGAGCCAGCCACGCTGAGCGACTTCTGCAGGGAGGCGGGCCGGGCTCTGGGAAGCCTCTCTCCCACAGTCAGGTTGTGGGCGCTGGCCGACCTGAAGCCCAGGGCAGGAGGGGCAGGAGGCCCCTCCATTGACTCCCGGCTCTCTCCTCGTGGGGCCCTCTTGGCCAGCTTCCTCCTCAGCAGTGAGTCGAGGAGAGGCGGGTCCTGCTCCCTGTGCTGGTCATAGGTGCTTCGGGACTTGCGCAGAGCCGGTGGCTCATCGGGCTCCTGGAGGCTAGAGCTGAGGAGCCTGCGGCGGGAGGAGCCGGGCAAGCTGCTGCGGCTTGGAGAGCCCGAGTCCCGGGAGTGCTGCCGGGCCAGGGCCTCGGGAAACTCAGCCAGGTACCTCATGAAGGAGCGGCCCAGCCCCTGGCGTGAGCTGCCCCGCTTCTTGGGCAGGTGAGGGTTGTTTGCAGCCATCTCCTTGGTCTTGTGGACCTCGAGCTGGGCATAGAGCTTCTTCAGTTCATCCTGCGGGGAGGGGAGGAAAGGGACATAAGCAGATGCTCGGGTGAGCTCTCCCTACCCCTGGCTGCACTGTTCTCCCCCTTGGCCCTTATGTAGACCATCTTCTCCGGGAATCTCTTCTGTCAAGCTGTGTCCCTTTCTTGCTTTTAAAACTCTCAGAATTGACCTCTTCGTTCCTATAAGACCAGGGCCAACCTAGGCCTGAGCTAGATCATTTAGCTCCGAGGACTCAGAGCATACTCCCTGGGGTATGTGGGTCTGGGTACTGGTACTGGGGTGCTGTGGTCTGGTGGGGGAGGTCACTAGCTTGGGGGAGACGGCTGACCCACTGTGTGCTTCAAGGCTGTTTTCTTGAGCCCTCTGAGCCTCTGCATCTTCTGTAAAGCAAGGCTACCTGGCTGATCAAGGGTAGCTTCCTTAAGAGGATTATATTAAGTTGATGGGGCCAAGTGTGATGGCTCACGCCTATAATCCTAGCACTTTGGGAGACCGAGGTGGGAGGATCGCTTAAGGTCAGGAGTTTGAGACCAGCCTGAACAAGAGCGAGACCCCATCTCTATAAAAAATAGAAAAATTAGTGAGGTGTGGTAGTGCACACCTGTAGTTCCAGCTACTGGGGAGGTAGAGGCAGGAGGATCACTCAAGCCCAGGAGTTTGAAGCCGCAGTGAGAGCTACGATGACGCCACTGCACTCTACCCAGGCTTATAGAGTAAGACCCTGTCTCAAAAGACAAAACAAAACAGAAAAAAAATATGGTGGGACAAATGAATGTGAAATGTGCAGTATTTGGGTGTAAGTGATGGAGTGGGGCTTTGAAAGTCTTTTATGTTCTGGACTTCACTTCAGAGCCAGCATAGAGGAAGCAGATTGGTTTATGTTCTGAAGTGTGGAAGGCCGTGAGTGTGGCTGCTGTGCCAGGGTGTTCCAGGTGCTCTCTGGCCTCACCTGGAATGGGGTGCAACTCAGCCTTGACCCGAGACAGAGCAGAAGGCAGGGCAGGTGAGATCAGATGGTGAGGGGGACTCAAGGAGGAAGCAAGCCAGGTAGCTGGGACAAGGAAGGAACTGGGAGGTAAGAAGACTCTCCTTTGTGAAGCTATAAACAAGTCAGGTGTGGAGGGGGCCCCAGTGGAGGTGGAGGATGGACAGCTTGGTTTCCTGAGATGGTTCCCATCCTTTAGGTTTTTTAAAACAATGGGCTTAGACTGCCAGCTCTCCTTACTTTCTACCCACTGAGCCTCTCATTAGGGTTCTTGTGACTATAGTGATACCTTTGAGCAGAAAAATAAGAATAACCAGGCTCTTCCAATGTAAGACCCAGGAAGAATTTCCTTTCCCTAAGACCTGCCAAGTCCCAGGAAAGGGGATCCTGCTGTGGAGTTCCTGGTGGCTGCTCACTGCCTGAACTACCCAACTCCACGGCTGGCCCTAGGGTCACCAACTGTCCTGCTTTGCTGGGGACTGAGTGAGTGGAGGACCCCAGGCAGTAGGGCTCCTCTCTCAGCACTACCTCTAACTTGCCAGGTGGCCTGGGCCTCCAGGATCTGGGTTCTTGGGCTTTGGGGGTCTTTCCACTTGGGTGGTGTGTGGCCTCCTTTGAATAGTCACAGGAAGCAGGGCAGTGGTAGAGAAGGGGGGGTCAGGTCTTGGAGAAAGGGAAAGCTAGGGGCGGGGAGGGGACCTGCAGTGGCACACAGCCCAGGTGGCAGGGCAGGTGTGTTCCCTCTGCCCAGTCCCTGAAAGCTGGCATCAGCAGGGGGCTGGGGGAGCTGCACCTACCCGAATGTCTCCAGGGTCCAGGCTGCGCTCACTCCAGGCTGAGGCGATGCTGCTGTTGAGGTAGGAGCCCGAGCGCTGCAGGTCCAGCTCGTCCTCATAGGCCTCCTCCACAATCTCCTCCCGGGGTGGAGCCCCCAGCTTCCAGAACTGGCGGGGCACATATGAGTGGGGAAAAGACTCCACCTGGCTCCCTGTCCACTCCTACTCTCACCTCCCTGTGGAATGTGTCTTTACTTTGTGAATCTTTGCCCCCTTCTCTGATTTCAAATTCCGGGGGTCCATAGAGTTTTATTCCCCTATCCTACCCCATCTTCTCTGGCTAAGAGACCAGGGTGATCCTGACCCCCTGCTCCTGCAATTCCTCGCCATGTCCTTCAGCTCCCTCACCTCTCTCTCTCTGTAACAGCTTCATAGGAGGTTTTCAGAGTTTGCTTAGGGCCCCTGTCACTCAGCTCACTAACCCCAGCACCTCTGTTACCTTCACCCTGGGCTGGAGGGCACCGTGGCGTAACATTCACACTGCTCCTTACTGGGGGGGCCGGGGTCTACCTCACACTTGGGCGGGGGAGACCTCACCTTGGGGATGAATATCAGAGCCAGCGTGGCGGTGACTGTGCTGTGGGTGTGGAAGAAGAAGAGGAGGAGGGTCCAGTCCGGATGCAGGGAGGGAACCAGCACAAACCTGGTGTGGGGTGGGAGGGTTGTTGTCAGCGCAGGTGAGAGTAGCGTCTTCCACCTCCCCTTCTCTCTGGCTCTTCTCCCAGCCCCAGCCCTGATCTCCATGGGATGACGAGGGTGCTCTTCCTCTTGCCCTCTCCAGGATGTAGGTCCTAGCTCAAGGCTCATGTCAGTCCCCACCTCTGGGAAGCCCTCCCAGGCTACTCCCTCCTGCCTTCTCTGGCTGCCTATAGTACAGGATTGTGCCCCACAGCTCTGCAGGGACCACCCTGTGGGTTGACTCTGCCCCTGCCACAGGACCGGGTCCTTATGGACACACACACAGCAGGCCTGCTGCCGTTACGGCTAAGGAATGAGGGGGAGAAGGGGGGGAACTGAGCATGTGTGGGAAGGGTGTGCTGGGGAAGCTGGAGAGGTGGTTTAGGAGTGGGAGAGGAGTTAGGAGGAGGGTACACTTCCTCTGTGTGTGAGGCCTCCTCACCTTGGTGGGGATCTGTGGGGTAGGGAGAGAGCTACAGGTTGGGGCTTCCCTCATCTTGCTGAGGCATGGCAGTGTCGCGAGGATGGCCATGGGATGGGAACACCCTCTCCTGGGAGTGGAGGAGTAGTGTTCGAGGGGGAAGAGTCACGGGCAGGTGGGTCCATCCTCACCTGGCTGTGTGGAAGGCAGCAGAGAGCAGCAGCTCGTTGTGCAGGGCAATGCCCATGTAGCGCGGTTCGTGGAAGGCCGAGAGCACGGCCCGGGTGGCGTAGCAGAGGAAGCTGCCCCAGCACAGGAGCAGCATCTCAGCTGCAGGGAGGTGGGGAGGGAGAGAGTGGCACTGCCTCAGCAGCTGTGCTACCCTTTCTCTGTAGGGTGCTGGGGGAGGGGAGGCCTGGGCCAGGGCTCTGGATAAAAAGGTGGGAGAGCCAGGACAGGAAGCCCCTGGAGGTGCAGAGCCAGGGACCAGAGTGAGGTTGGGTTTGGCAGAAGCAGCTCACCCATGACCATGATGTAGTCCCAGCGGTCGTGGTGACAGAGGTAGAAGTGGCGGCCAGTGGGAGTGTGGCCTCGGATCACCAGAGGGGTGTGCTGGATGCCTCGCTCCAGGGTGCCCACTGTCCACACAGCCAGGAAGCCCAGCACGAGCAGTAGGAGCAGTCCCAGGCGCTGCAGCAGCCGCCCACTGCTCAGATGGGGGCCCCGCTGGGCCGATCGAGACAGAAACAGCTGCAGCACCCTACAAGGGTTAGGGTATGGATGGTAAACAGGAGGATGGGGGAGGACCACAAAGAGGGGACCAGAACCCTGGCTTCCGTCCATTGCTTCCTCCTCCTTCCCTGTCCTCCCGTCCTTTTCATGGTCCACTGCCGCCTCTTACCCCTAAAAAGTTACATGGGAGGGAAGGCTATAGTGATGGGGGCAGGCCTTGGGGGCACAGGGGAGTGGAGCTGGTAAGGGTCTGGCTTTGGAAAATTCATTGCATAGATGAGCCAGAGTGGCCTGGGGTGAGCAGTGTGAGAGCAAGGTCCGCCCTAGGCCCTACCTGTACAGCTTGAGTGTAATGGTGCCATAGACGGTGGCAAAACCCAGCAGCCGGACCCAGCGGAGGGCGATGCAGCGGAATACACTGGGCTTGAAGTACAGGATAAAGACCTGGGGGAAGAGGGCAAAGTCTCTGCTCTCACTGTGCTTCTTTCTGTACATGCTGGGCCTGCACTAAGCATGTCGCTAATCCTCCCAGCAGCCCTGCAGTAGGGGCAGCATCACCTCTGTCCTGTAGAGGAGCAGCCTAAGTGTCAGAGAGGTTAGGTAACCTTTCCTAAATCACACCGCAGGTCATAGAGCTCTTTTAAGCTTGGGGCTGTTTGGCTCCAGAGCTTACTAGACCAGCCTGCCATTTGTGGGTGTGAGTAGGGGGATTCTGAGGTCTCTGAACCACCCCAAGAGGCAGGAAGAAGAGGGCTTCTGAGGTTTGGAGGGTGCCAGGTTGGGGCTGTGGGGGACCCTGGGGGGGCAGCCTCTGGCCACAGACTCACAGGAAAGTAGAGGAGCAGGGATCCAAAAAGAATGGTTTCCAGCAAGACGATTCCAGATGCCCAGACCCTCTGTGAACCCAGGAGAGAGGCATGTGAGCAGGGCAGTGGGAGGACGGAGCCTGGGCACTGGTGCCACAGGCTCTCGGGCCCATTTGAGGGTTTACTCAGTGGCCCTGTGATGCTAGTTCTGCTTCTCTGTCACAGTCACGCCCTTGCTCCCAGCCCAGGCACAATTCTACTGGCAGTAGGCCTGGTGGGGGCCAAGGTTTCACACATCTCCCCCACTCCACCCCAGCCCTGTGCTTTCCCAGTCCCACCCCAGGCCCCTGCTGCAGACCTGGGCTCAACTCAGAGGTTGCTGGAGCTAAAAGGGATCTCATGCACTCCTTCAAGCTCTGGGTCAGATTACTCCCTTGTCTAGAATAGGATACCCCTTCTCGGCCCAGTGACATCCAGTTCACCTTCAAGCCTGCCTCAGATGTCATGTTCTCCAGAAAGTCTTTCTCATGCCATCTCAGGCAGGATGGTCTGGTCCTTTCTGAGCTCCCACAGCAATTGACACACCTCTATCCTTGCCCCTGTCTCACTGTGCTGTCATTTGTCTACACTTTTGCTTCCTCCATTAAGCTGGGAGCTCCATGAGGGTGCAGACCACTTCCTCTAGTGCCTAGGCAGTTTTTGCTTAGAGTACTCAACTGGCATTTGTTGAATCAAGCCTTTTACAGTTGAGGAAACAGATCTAAGATGTCACTTGCCTAATGTCACATAGTGAGTTAGATTTAGAATCCAGACTGGAACCTGTTTCTCCCAAGTTCTAATCTTAGGTAGTCTCTGGTTGAGATGGGTAGGACATGTGTGCAGGAGAGAGATGTGGGGGCCTTCCTTGCCTTGCGCCGGTGGCAGCGGTAGAAGACCAGCATGCTCAGAAAGACAGCCAGCATGCAGCAGGCCTGGCAGGCTAGCACTGCTGCTCGCAGTGCCAGGGCCTCCTCCACCAGGCACGGTGTGGCATCCATGCAGCTGGAGCAGCCCTCAGGACATGGCTGGCACCGCAGCAGCCTCCCGGAGCTGCCTTGTAGGGACCCGAATTGCCCAGGAGTCTGGGTGGCACTCTCCTCTAACCCTATAGAGAACAAGATGGGTACAAGGAGTGGAGCATGACTAGGGCATCCTGAAATCTTAGCCTTCTCTCCTAATGGTCACCACAGCCCTCTCCCTGCCCTCCTATGGTCTGTGACCCCAGGGATACGAGGGAGTGGGAACTCCCTGGGGAGAGCAGGGAAATAGCAAATGTGATGCCAGGCTAGGGCTCACTGGGAGAATAACTTACATCACATCTGCATGCTGTGGGCTCATTCTCAGAAGGTGCAGACACCCCCCAACTGGGCCCTGCTTGCCTCTCCCACTTCTCTCAATCTGCCCTTGCTCCATGAGTTTCCTCCCAGAGTCTCAGCCCACCCTGTCTTTCTTCCCTAGATGTACCCGCCTGCCCAGCCTAGCCTGTGAAACACACACCTGGTCCCCACCACACTTACGTACCCCCAGAGCGGCTTGCCCCATAGAATCCAGGTCGGCAGCGGCAGAGGTATCGGCCAAGGACAAAACCCTGACTCTCCAGGGGGACGCACTGGGAATGACAAAGACAATATGTATTTATGTGGGGCTTTCTCTGGAAGAGCTTTCCCTCCTGGGAAAAGACCTATCCATGGCACCTGGGTCTGCACTGGAGCATCCCTCCTAGCCCCTCCCTAGTCCTTGGAAGCCTTCCCTCTGTGGAAACCCTGCCCTAGCCCCTGCTGTTGCCTCGCTTTGTGAAGAGACCCCAGGCAAAAAATATGGGGATAGATCACACTTTTGTTCAGACTGACAGGGGCAAGAGCCTCATGTGTCTCATTTCCCAGTGCCTAGCTGTTGCTAGGGCAAAGTACAGGGAGAGGAGGTGTAAGCGGGGAGAGCTCTGTGCCCAGCCACACCTTGTGTGCCTACATCCTGCTTCAAAGGGTCCCCATTAGCCTCCCTCTTTGGCACACAGGTGTGTTGAAAAGGCCCCCACAGAGGAGCTGCCTACTCTGTCAGGGGCCATCTGCCTTTGGCACAGAACTGCCTTCCCCAGCCCTAATGCCAGGCTGGTGGGATGCCAAGGCCAGCCCTTTATTCCACCTCTGCCCATTGATGTTTGCCTGGCAGGGGACAGAGCAGACCTCAGAGCCAGGCGGGGAAGATGAGCACATAGATGAGGTCAGATCTGTTGTGGGAGTGGCTGGGAACAGACATCGGTGGGGCAAAGGAAGGGGTTAACCTTGGGAGATTCTGTATCCAGCCCCTGGCCACACCTGGAAGGGTTAGAGTGTGGTGGTTATGAAACTGTGGCCCAACTTCCCCTCTTTCCTCGACCCCTGGGATGTACTCTGTTCCTGCCACAGTCTGCACAGTGACACAAATGTGTACCCAGAGAAGGGAATGTGGCTGGTTAAAAAGTGAGCCGTACAGGCTCCATCCCTGGGCCTATAGCTCCAAATACCTGTGCCCTGAAGAGGAGTAGGCCACCTGTGCACACACAGTGATATGTTCACCATCTCCAGCAGGCTTCAGGGCTCACCTTGGCTTCAGTTCAGCTCAGGAACAAGCAGTCAGAGTAATGATGTGTTTGCTGGCCTGCCCACTTCCCAGAATTGGGCTTGTAAAATTTCCAGCCAGTGCTGTCTACCATTCTGACTGGCCTGCACCCAAGGCCCTGATTCTGCTTGCATCTGGCCTGGGTTCCATCACCTTCACCAGTCCCAGACTTCATCAGGCTCCTTTGGTTAGATTCCTCCCATACCCCAACCAACAATTCCATTTATTTCAACAAACACCAATGGTACATCCTTTGTGGGCAAAGAGTAACCCAGAGCTGTGTTGGCATGGATAATGTGGTCCAGGGGAAGGAAAGGAGATGATTAATGGAGGTTCAAGGAGGGGCCCTGGAGAAGGATCCTGGAGCACTGAGTACCAGAAAGGAGAGCAGAGAGGGACACTGAGATTTCAAAGGAATAAGGGGTGGCCTTGGCCAGGAGTGGAGGGATCAGAAGGGTGTAAATGGCTTCACTTTTAAAAAGCCTGGTGTCTCATCACTGCCAATCACTTTGGGACTCCCTTGAAGCCCTGAGATGCTGGGGTGGCTTTGACAGCCACTTCTGGGAGCTGGGTGGTGGCAGTGATGGGAAAGGGGGAGGGAGGCAGGACCCTAGTAGCCCCCCGCATCCTCCTCTTCCTTACCTGGGTGCTGTTGAGATCACACAGGTGTGTGTTAGAATACCAGCCTGGGCCGCTTGCACACTGATTGATGTCCACAGTCTGGAGGTCTACGTCCATCTGCACCTGCCCCCTAGGGCAGTGAATTGGCAGTTAGGGGCACAGTGATAGATGCCAAGGTGGACATGTGTCCTTCAGCATGTTGGGGCTCAGAAAACAGTGCTCCAAGTTATGGCACTTTGGCATGCTGAGTACTTGGAACTGAAGGGCCTCAGAAGCATGCTTTCTCCAAACTTCTCCTGCCCTCCTGTCTCCCACCCTTCTTCCTCCCCTGAAGCAAGTCGTCAAAACCAGAATTCCTCTTTCCCAAGGCAGGTCATAGAAACTAGAATCTCTCTCCCCTAGAGCAGGCCATAAAACCTAGAAACATTACTCTAACTTTTCTTTGCCCTTCTGTGTAGGAGCTGGCCATAAAGAAATTCTCTGACCCACTTTAATAATAGATCATAAACCCCTCATTCCAGATGATCCTGCCCTGCACCTGGGAGGAAGGAATGCCACACAGACAAAGAAGAATAAGGACAGGCCTTGCTGGGTTTCTAAGCTTATTACTTCACTCAGTCTATTACCATAAGATCAGACCCTTTTATGTCCAATCTCATTTCTACATGATTGTCCATTCTTCATCAAATCTAAGCATAAAAATGGACAGTTTTCCCTGAGTCTTTGAGTCTTCATTTCTGAAGCCTCCTTGGTCATGTAAAACATTGATTAAATACCTTTGTTAGCTGGAGTGATGTGCCCCTTGTGATGGGTAAGGAAAGGTATCACACCTTTCCACCCCTACAGGCACTAGACCATGGGACGCTGCAATCTTGGCTAACTTAGCGCAGTGGCTGCAGGGTACTCGGAAGGTACACATGTGTTCCATCTCTCCAGTGCTGTGAACTCGTCTCTCTGGACAATAGTCCCTTTCTCATTAGATTGTTCCCCCACACCTCTCAGCTTTTCAACATCCCATATTTCCTGATTTCTACCAATGTGTAGAAAGAGGGTACATGTCCAGATATGTAGGAGCCCAGGGCTCTGATAATCTGATGGGGATTTTCACATTTTCTCACTCCATTTATGTATACCACACACACACACACACACACACACACACACACACACACACACACACACAGCTCAGCCATTAACCACCCCCTCACTCTGCCCAAGCCAGGTCAGAATGGATCACAGCACAGGAGACATGAAATGGAAGAGCCCTGAGCTGGAGCTGCCTGGCCCAGCAGCATCCTAAACCCTGCTCTGAGCTGAGTGGGGAGAGGGCTGGCAAGGAGCCAGACTGCCTGCTGGCAGGAGGGGACCCCTGCTGGGAACAGTGAATGGGGACACAGAGCTGGAAGAGCAATGTTGATTATTGAATCCCTGCTGCACTGTGCTCATTCACTGCCCCCTCCTCCTTAGGGGTCCCAGCCCCTGTTTGCTCTGTTGAGGGAAAAGGTCAGTCATTTGAGGAGTATCACAAGCTTCAGGGTCAGAACAGGCAGGACAATGGGGCCTGCTTGATATAGCCATTGGGAGAGACCCCGAGGGCCCAGCCAACTCCTGGACAGAAAAAGCATTGGTTCTATGCCCCTCAAGAATTTTCCTTCTCCTGGAAAGCCTCCTTGACGGCTCTGAGTTGCTAGAGAGCAGAAGGTTTAACTCCTGGAGTGGCCATCTGGCTCCTCCAAGAAGCCTGGTGCATAGATTGTCACTTTCATCCATGGCAAGCCCTCTTGAGCCTGTTGCACTCACTCCTCAGACCTGGGGGCCAAGACCTGCACCTGTCTATGCAGGCATCTGTACACACATGTGTGTAGACCTACATATAGGTATGCCTACATATGTATACCCATTGTATATGCACATGCTCAGGCATTCCTTCATGTGCTCAAGCACATAAATACAAATAGACGGACACCTAGATATGTGTAAATGGATTGATTCATACACAGTATGTGCACTCACACCTGTATGCGTTAAGAGATAGCTACAGATTCCCAGAGCCAACTGCAGACACGCACAGCTGAATGCAAATGCACACATCTGTGCTTCCCCCCCAGACATACACATGTTCATGCCAAATGGCCCATGCACAGCTGGGTGGACTTGTGCCCCCCACCCCTACATACCCGTAAATGCGTCAAATCCTGCACAGACCCACTTACCTAACCTCTGGGCTGAGGTCTGGCTTGAGTCCATAGAAGGTGGCCGAGAGTGTGATCAGCCAGCCAGGACGGAGCCGGCCCTCCTGGCATTCCAGGAAGGGAGGAGACAGCCTCACCTGCTGCACGTCCCCCACGAATCCATCTGCCTGTGGCCATTTGGGGCTGCCAAGGCTCCCTAGGTCATTGGTCAGCACCCGCTTCTGCAGAGCAGGGATGTCCAGGTCCCCTGCCAGGCTCTCCTCCTGCACTCTGTTCCCAGACAAGTCCTGAAGGATGGTCTCCTCCCCAATCCGGGTGGCCTGCAGGGCCAGCTGTAGGTGGCTGGCCCCTGGTGGAGGGTTAAAGGTCAGCAAGGCCCGGTATGCCCGTGGGTCCCCCTCAGCCACGCTGCGGACCAGTGCCTGGTACCACTCCACATCCTCCTCCACGCTGGACTCACGGATGTCGTTGGCTTGCAGCAGCATGTTGAGAAAATTAGCAGCCTGGGCAAGGGTGCCCGCTGCCCCCTGTAGGATCGGAGGGAGATTTGGTCTGGCTCCTGCCCCGTGTGCTTCATAGTGCTGACTACAATTAGCCCCCAACAGCTTTTGAGCATCTCCAGAATAGAGAAAAGCCAGAGCTGCCTCAGCCCCCTCTGAGGGCACCCAGATAGGCACAGATCCTGGCTTGACTTCGGAGGACAGTGGGGGCAGAGAGCGGAGAGATCGAGGACCTCCCAGAGCCCAGCCACAGAGGAAACAGCAGCCCAGCAGCCCCCACAAAGGAGGGGGCATGACCACTGCCCTGGTACCCATCCTCAGGGCAGCTTTGAGGACCCTGGGGTCCATGCTGCCTGGGGGATTTGGTGGCTCAGGAGAGCCCAGGCAAATGCTGGCCGCGGTCTGGGGGCTGCCTGCCTCCACGCCTCCTGTCCCGGTGTTCCCTCTTCGTCTTTCCCTCTCTCTCTCACGCTGGCGCTGGCTCGCCTATTTTCTCTCTCTCTAACGTCATCAGCTGGCTTCTGGATGTAGGTATGAGGGCCCTGCCCTCTCCTCTTTCAGTGTGGCCCCCCATCTCAAACCCTTTTAATCCTGGCACCCCACTCTTTCCTCCCCCTCTTATCCAGGATCCGGGCTTCCTCCACCCCCACCCCACATCTGCTGCAGAGAGAGAGAGAGAGAGAGAGAGAGAGAAAGAGAGAGAGAGAGAGAGAGATGGAGAGAAGGGGAGGGGAAGGGACCAGTTGTGCTCTCCCTCCCTCCCTCCCCCTGCCCTTTGCTGCATTAGGAGAGATGGGCAAATCCAGGATGGGGCGCCATAGCAACCGCAGATGAGCCCATGCCCCTCTCTCCACCCCTCTGCTCCACTCAGCCTCCTGGCAGCAATCTCCACAGGCATGACAGAGGGCCAAGCTGCATCTCCTGGCAATCTGCTCTGGCTGCCTGCACCCCCGACACCATGTTGCTGAACTGGAATTTAGGACTGGGGACAGCGAGGGTAGGAAAGAGAGCCTAACATAACCATAATCAATCCTTATACAGACTGTGGCAGCTTAGAAAGTGCTCTTCATGTGTGTTATCTCAACGAGTCTTCTCCACAACCATGTATGGTGAATATTCTTATTCCCATTTCACAGATGTGGACACTGAGGCTCAGACATTCACCCAAGATCACATGGCTGCTCACTTCAAGACTCTAACCCAGAGTTCTGACTCCTCTATACTGCCCAATCAAACCACAAGCATCACCCCATTACTCAACCTCAGGGACTATAAGAAAGCCTTATTACAGAGGGGTAAATTAAGGCCCAGAGAGGTGAAGGGACTTCCCTAGGACCATGCTGTTGTTCGTGACAGAGATGGAGTTGCCACCCAGGTGTCAGCCACCCACCCAGGCCCTTGTTCTCCTGCGCCAGTTAACAAACAGCAGCAATGGTGGGGGCAGGGAGAAGGGTGTGGACAAAGTTTTGCCTCCACTTTTTCTTCCACCTTCATTTTGTCGTCCTGTTTTTCCTTCTTCTTCCTTCTTCATGACAACTGTTGCTAGTCTCTTTACTCTTCCCAGGTTTTGTTTTGTTGTTTTTTTTAGACAGAGTCTTGCTCTGTCATCCAGGCTGGAGTGCAGTGGTGTGATCATAGCTCACTGCAGCCTCAGACTCCTGGGCTCACCAATCCTTCTGCCTCAGCCTCTGTAGTAGCTGAGACCACAGGCATGCACCACCACACCTGGCTAATTTTTCTTTTTTTTGGTAGAGATAGGGTCTTGCTATGTTGCCCAGGCTGGTCTCCAACTCCTGGCCTCAAGCAATCCTCCTGCCTCAGCCTCCCAAAGTGCGGGGACTACAGGTGTGAGCCACTGTGCCCAGTTTTCTTATCCCTCACATCCTACTCTCTGCAGGACACAGTAACTGAGGAGCCCAGAGTCAGCACTATCTGAAGCAGCCTCCTTGGATCTGGAAGGGTGTGGATCCTTGGGGGAAGCCACAGAACAAAGCTCCTGCCTCCCCCACCCCCATCACCTTTCCATGGCCAATGTGCTTCCCACTAACCCAGGTGATCTGGTCCCACAGTCACGAGCTGTCTCTTGGCTTTTTCCCTTTTAACCCCCTCCCCACCACTGTCTTACACCTTTGATATCCCAGATCACTGAGTATACATAGGAAGGGATGGGGGGTGGGGACATTGGGATGGGGACAAAAAGGCTGTGGGGGAGAGCGAGGGGGTTGCTAGAGAACAAGGACCCTGAAGAATCTCTGTGATGGCAGAACTAGAAGAGCCTACAGCCCAGACTGTTCTTTAACAGATAAGGGAACTAAAACCCTGACAGGAAAGTGACATTCCTGAGGCCACCAAGCCAGTTAGTGGCACAGATGGGACCAAAAACCTGTGTTGCAACCTCATAACTCTTTTCTTGGACTCTGTCAACAGAGAAAGAGATGAAGGGGAGTGAATGACTCATTCTGTTTTTTTGTTTTTTTTTGAGACAGAGTCTCACTTTGTTGTCCAGGCTAGAGTGAGTGCCATGGTGTCAGCCTAGCTCACAGCAACCTCAAACTCCTGGGCTCAAGCGATCCTACTGCTTCAGCCTCCCGAGTAGCTGGGACTACAGGCATGCGCCACCATGCCCAGCTAATTTTATATATATATATCAGTTGGCCAATTAATTTCTTTCTATTTCTAGTAGAGACGGGGTCTCGCTCTTGCTCAGGCTGGTTTTGAACTCCTGACCTCGACCAATCCGCCCACCTCGCCCTCCCAGAGAGCTAGGATTACAGGCATGACCCCCGCACCTGGCCATTCTGTTTCTTGGTATTTATTACTGGTTACTATTAGTTGAGGGTCAAGAAAACACACTGGGTGAGTTACGTTTTTTTCCAAGAAGCTTTTTACATTAATAATAACTACATTTGTATAGTGCTTTAGAATTTACCAAGCTCCTTTACATATAAGTTTTCATTAAATTTCCCAAAATAGTCCTGTCAAGTGGAGGAGTATTACTGACCCATTTTTATAAATGAGACACAGGTTCAGAGATGTTTCATTATGGTTCAAAGATGTGCAGGAAGTGGCATGATTAGGACTCAAACTAGATGGACCACAAAGTCCGGAGGGGCAAGGATTATCTCTCATTCATCACTGTACCCCCAAAACCTAGCTCATTGAGGCATGACTAAACGAACCTCAGAACCTCTCTGGATTCTTTAAGTTGTTTTTCATAAGCCTTTTTAACTAGGGCCCAAGCACCGTGGGGACCACTTTTGTGGCCCTCCGTGAAAGAGATATGTTTATTTATTTATTTATTTAGAGGACAGGCTGTCTCCCAGGCTGGGGTGTAGTGGCATGATCATAGCTCACTGTAACCTTGAACTCCTGGGCTCAAGTGATCCTGCCACCTCAGCCTCACAAAGCCAAAGCACTGGGATTACAGGTGTGAGCCACCTCGCCCAGCTGGTATGTTTAGACATAAAATCAGCTCAACAAACACAAACCCAAGTCACACAAACAGGAAGATACACCCCCTTGGCTTGGTACTTAACAGTCATAAAGTTTTTTCCAGGACCTGAGCTACAGGACTGGACAATTAAGGACATGGGGAAAGGCTGCATTCCTTCCCTGCCTTAGAAAGAGCTTGTGTATCTTCCCAGTACATCCCTGTGCTCTGCTCAAATGGAGATACCCTAAATGGCCTCAGTCGGCCTCTTCTAGGGCCAGGAAAGCAGATGGACAGCAGAGGGCGCTGCAGAGCCACAGACCTTGCCTGTGCTGTAATCTGCTCTGAGGCCAGAGTTTAAACAGAGAGATCTGGGGTAGTCTTAGACCTTAGGCGTTGTTTTATCCTATGGCAGTTTTTCTTCTTTTCTCCAGAAACTCAAGCAACACCTGAGAGGTAGCCGGCAGGGGTTGGCGGGGAGGGAGGGTGGAGAATGAAATATTTGGAGTCAGACAGCTGGTTTTGAATGCCACTGCATCTTTTTGAACTGAGTGACCCCAGCTAAATAACTCATTAAGCTTCAGTTTGTTTCTTCACATGCAAGGAAGGATATTACTTCTGTTGTGCAGAATTAGAGATGAATTTGTAGCAGGAGCTTGTTACAGGGCCTGAGGTTGAACAGCCATTCCGTGCTTATGTATCGAGGGTCTGCTCTGTGCTGGGCATGGTCCTTGGAGCTGGTGAGTCCATGAAGGGCAAAAAGCAAACATGGTCCCTGCGCTCACAGGACTCTCAGTTCAGTAGGGAAGTCAGATTTTCATCAAATAGGCCCACAGATAGATTACAAATCACACATGTGCAATTAAGTGCAACAAAGGAGTGGGCTTAGAGCTGGGTGAGGAGGAGGTACTAAGGCAGGGAGATCTCCCTAAGGTCATGGGGAGTGAGTTCAAGCTGAAGGATGAGTAGAAATTTACTAAGCAAAAAGAGAGGGGAAAAGCCGGGCGCGGTGGCTCACGCCTGTAATCCTAGCACTCTGGGAGGTCGAGGCGCGTGGATTGCTCCAGGTCAGGAGTTTGAAATCAGCCTGAGCAAGAGCGAGACCCCATCTCTACTAGAAATAGAAAGAAATTAATTGGCCAATTAACATATATAGAAAAAAATCAGCCAGGCATGGTGGCGCATGCCTGTAGTTCCAGCTACTTGGGAGGCTGAGGCAGAAGGATTGCTTGAGCCCAGGAGTTTGAGGTTGCTGTGAGCTAGGCTGACGCCTGGGCACTCACTCTAGCCTGAGCAACAAAGCAAGACTCTGTCTCAAAAAAAAAAAAAAAGAAAAGAAAGTAAGGAAGAAAGTGTTAATACTTCAGATTTAAACTTAATGTATTGGGGGGGGGCATGGGCAATATATGTAATCTTAACACTTGTACTCCCATAATACGCTAAAATAAAAATAAAAAAAAGAAAACCTGAAAATCAAAAAAAATAATAAAATAAACTTAATGTATTATGTCTGTAGCTGTTACATTATGAATAGCACAAAAATTAAGGAAATAAATTCTTCCAGTATTTGAAACTTTTCTGATTCATAAATGAAGTCACTCCCATCATTAACAATCCAGTTTTGTCTTTGTTTTTTCACTTTCCTCTTATATTTACATAGAGGAAAATATCTACCAACATTCACGTGGCAATTACATTCCTTAGTCAATTGCAATCACGGTTTGGCTACCCATGTAAGAATTTGGAGAACATCAATGACAACATTCTGTGAAAATCAGTCATGTGGAATTTGACATTGTATATTATTATTTGTAAATTGTGGCTACACATCCTTTACAACCGTAAAATTTATGATAAATTTATGCACCTATATATTCGCATACATTCCCTCCCCTCCACCAGAGCCGGTTGTTAAACGTGTGTCAGCACACCACTGGATCTATAACACATTATTCATGTAGTTATTCACTGGATCTCAGCAGGCGGACACAGATTAGTGGTGACATGACTCGGCCAAGGTCACACATCGCAAGCGGCATAGGCAGGACAAGAATCATAGGTACTCCCAAGGCCAGCGGCTCTCTCCCAGCACCAGACTAAGGCCCCCAATGCCGCTTCACTCTATCAAGAAGGATGCTACGGGCCGGGGCGCCCAGGAAGTGAAAACCAAGGGCGGAGGCAGGAGACCAACGCCAGCA